ACTACTGAATTTATTTGTTTGTCGAGTTTACTTAAATACTATTTACTTATCAAATATATATAAAAAAAATCACTCCCAAATTTGTGGCATGAGCAAGAGAATTCCCAGTTAAAGGACCCAAATTGATATTTATCTGTATAATAGAAGCTGGTGGTCCAAAAACTATACAACATTTTTCAAAGGGAGGTGTCATCTGCATAAAAATGCTAAGGAATGTTGTGCTTACGAAAAATCAAGCCTAAAGGAAGCAAATGCAGCGAAAACAACAGCGGGCCCAAAATAGAGCCCTGAGGTATACCACAAGTTAGAGGTACAGAAGAGAAAGAGAAATTCCCATGGTAATTTTGAAATTGGCCGACAGTTATCTAAAATAAAGCGATCTGAACTGGCCTTTTTGCAGAGTGGATTCACTACTGTGTGTTTCAGGATTGATGGAACAGTGCCTTGAGAAGTTAAAACAAAAGGTTCAACTACACATAACACTTCCCTAAGTAGATGAGGAGGTCCCGCATCCAAGGAGCAAGAGGAGTGCTTCGTTTTATGGAAAAAGCTCTACAAGAAAAGAAGAAGAAATAGGCTTAAACTCAGTTAAATAGTGATTTCGTTTATGACTGCAGTTTCTTCATTGTTTCACTGGACCTGCAAGAAGCTAAAAGGAGAAGCAAGCTCCACCTGATCCTGGAACAGCCTCTAGAATGAACCACATGATCCTCTTAATCCTCTCAGAGCCACAGCTGGCATTTACAACCCTGCTGCCAAAGCACACACACACATCTCCTCTTGGTTTCTCTTCTGCTGGCTCAAGTGTAGAAAAATTCATACTGTTTTCTTTTTCTTGGGAGCAAAAAAACTCAGCCAAGCGACCACCTAGCAACCACCCACAACAACACCATAGCAACCGTATAGCAGTGTGCTGAAATCCACTCGAAGATCTTAGCATCATGATAAGTTTTCCACTGCGAGCATCACTCACACTTTCTTCAGATGTAAAAATAGTAAAGTTCTATTCTATTCTATTTGTCTATTCTATAATAAAATACATTTCAGTTATTTATAAGTTCTTTTCAAAGTTCTATTCTATTCTATTTCAAAATGAAATATTTCAGTTATTTTCTAAGTTCATTTCAAAGTTCTATTCTATTTCAAAATGAAGTATTTCAGTTATTTTCCAAGTTCCTTTCAAAGTTCTATTCTATTTTATTATATTCCAAGCATCCTACATAACATCAGCCTAACATCAGAAAAAAGGGGCGGGGCCTGGTTGAGTTGGTTAGTAGTGTGTTGAAACTGGCGGTTATGGTAATTTCCCCAACACACTTGAAATGCTTGACCAATCACAACACACTGCTCCAGCCGACCAATCAGAGCACACTGTGCTTTTCAGAAGGGGCTTCAGAGACGGGAAATAAACGGAGCGTTACTAACAGACTGGAAAGAGAGGAGCTGCAACAAATATCAACGCATTCTCACCCCAAGGCGTCACCTTTGACCACGCTTCAATATTTGACGTTTTAGGCGCCGTTTAGCGTCAGTTACATGACGCGATCCTACAGCGTCATCTAACTGACGCTAAAGGAAAGCGTCAGTTGGATGACGCGGTTAGGTTTAGGTGTGGGGTGGGGGTAGGGTTACACGCGATCCTAGGGCGTCATCTAACTGACGCTAAAGGCCTAAAGCGTCAGATATTGAAGCATGGTGAAAATGCTTCCCAAAGCGTCAGTTAGGTGACGCCTTGGGAGTGAGAATGGGCTGCAAATATGGAGAATATGGAAAAAATAATGTTGTTTTTTTTGTTTGTTTTTTAACATTCAAGCATGAAAACCCCTTTCTAGTAGAACAACAAAGTAGAAAAGTAGAAAACATACTTTTTTGCAAAAGTATAAAAACTAGTGGAAAATGAAACTCAAACCGTTATAGCAGGCATCACAGCTCCCCTTTAAATCTGAAAATAGAGACAAGGAAACAAAATGAATATCCAGGAGTGTCTTCAGATAGAGTACAGCACTGTAACTGACGTCTTTTGCTGTGTCTACATTGTATTTACAGTTTTGGACAAAAGCCAACTACCAGTATTATTATTATTATACCTGCTGGCAATGGACTCAACGCACTGCAGTCGTAGAAGCAGCAGTCTCCAAACGCAAAATGAGAATATGTTGGAATTTCACTTTTAGTAATTCAAATAAGCAACTATCTGTAAAGGTTGAATCATTTATGAGGTTTGGCCTGGGATCATTGGTTCAGCGTGACTCATAATGTATCAGAATGCTGTGAGTTTAGCAGATCTTGAAGCACATGAGGATCAGTGTCACTGTATGTTGTAGCATGTGTGGTTTTTCATAGCTCACTTAATATGATTTCACAGATGCCAGATCTTATAGGGCCATTTTTTTAAAGGTAAGCTGATCGGATTTTGGTTATCGGATTGGATCAAATCTTGAAAATGGGTTGTTCAAAAGGGAAAGATAGAATCTGAAATCAGATTAGATCAGGGAATCCAATCCTAAAGTTTTAATCTGGATCAAACCTTCAGTTTGTGTTGTTCAAAACTTGTCAGTGGGATTTGGATAACTTTGATCCAAAAAAACAGGATTATCCTGATCCCAACAGGGGGTAGGGTTTCAAGGTGGATTTCAGGAAGAAAATGTGGTAAAACTTTAAAATTGGTCAAATAATACATTTGTATCATTTAGTGTATATACTTAGCTATTCAGTATAGTAAAGATAAAATAAAAATTATCTTGTCCCCATGAAATAATCCCCCAAACAGATTTCAATAACAAACAAAAATAATATATTCATTTGTCGGTCATTCATCATTTTTTAAGACGTTTTCAAAATGTCCACAATGTATTTGTTAATGTATGTTTATTTTGTTGTGGTTCATATGTGGGTCATAAAATAAATTATGATTAGAAGTGGATGTTTATGTTATTTTTGTGTTTTTTTCTCAAAATAAGAAACACTTACAGTGACCCCATGTTGGCTCTTCTACCTGTTCTTTACATAGCTGGTAGCCCACATTGTGAAATGTTGTCCCATTTAGAGCACTGGTAATCCAGATTTGGTAATCTTGAAAACTGTGTATCTGGATCAGGGTGATCCAGTCCAATGTTGCTTTGAATAACCGGCATAAAATTAAGACGGATTACCTGATCCTGGATAGGAAAAAATGGGATTTCCAAATCCGGATCATTTTGATCCAGATCAAATGTTTTGAACAACTGGCCCATAATCATCAGAACTGATATCTGGCTAAGGCCTGGGACACACTAGACGATTTTCAAATCTAAACCAATTTTAAAACCAGGGGAGACCACAGTCACAAGGAAAGTTTCAAATGATTTTTAAAAGTATAATCCTCAGGGTCCAGTTTTCCAAAGGTTTAATCCGGATAAAATTGATCCAGATTTAGTAATCCCTTTTTTTTTTTTTTTTTTTTTTGCGATCCGGGATCACATAATCCAGTTTACATTTGAGCCAGTTTTTCAAAGCAACATCGGATTGGATCAATCTGATTCGGATAGGAACTTTTCAGGATCACCAAATCTGGATAACCAGTGCTCAAACAGGATAGGAAATCACTATGTAGTAGACTATAGATATGTAAAGAGCAACAAGTAGACAAAACAAGTAACAAACACTGTACATTGAGGATATTTATAACACGTTTCAAATATAGATGTATTGAATAATAAAAAAAAAGACGTAATGTCAAATATTCCACAATAATTTCAGACTTCCTCATCCAATGTGGAGAGACAAGCTTGTTTGAGCATAGCCTTTAGGAGGCGGATCTAAAATCTGGCCTTGGTTTGCTGCAGTTTGGTCAGAGTCAGTTGTTCCTCTGCCAGAACGAGCAAAAAGGGACGCAATAGTTCGACACTATTTCTGATTTGGATTTGTTTTGGATTCCAAAAATCAGTGATTGCCAATCTTTGCATTTTTTTTTTTTTTGGTTATTCTGTAATCATTGCATGCATCACTAATAAATATTCTAAAAACAAAAATATTTGATATTATTTTATGAGGCCAAACTCTTTCTACTTTGCTGTAGGCCTATACTGAAAGGCTGAATATACGTTAAAGCCTACCTAATCACTGTAGCCTAAAGGATGAACAAATAAAATTAAAACCTTATGAATAAATAGGATATCTTGTAAGATACTGCATGATCCAAATGTAGTATTATTTGATATATTTTTAAAGATTTTATTAGATTTTGGGCATGAAATCCACACTGAATCCACCCTTCTGATGGGATCAGTTTAATCCAGATTTTTTGGATCAAAGTGATCCAAATCCTACAAAAAAGTTCTGAAAAACCCAAACTAAAGGTTTGATCCGGATCAAAACCAAGATTGGATTACGTGATCTAATCCGATTATGCAATCCGTTTTTTCTTTTGAAAAACCCAATTTCAAGATTTGATCCAATCCGTTATCCAAAATCCTAGTGGATTCCTTCTGAAAAACCGGGCCAGGACGTACACACTAGTAGTAGCGATTTCAAAGAGGCAAATCCCACAGACACCAGGATAGAGGAAATAACAAAATAAACTTCACATCATAAAGTCAAATTAGACCCAATTATTTCCATTTTTCATGATTTCTACAGTAGTATCTGTACAGGCTTTTCGCTTACGTTTCTCCTTATATAGAACCTTTTTGGCATAAAGAGTTCTTTAAAACTGAGCAAAAAACACTGGTTAAATGTTGAACCCCACCGAAGAGCGTAATAAAAACTAGTAAGTTATTAAAAACTGTATCGACGTATTTAAAAATGAATAAAATAGCAAAACAAAATGACTAAATCTTTCATTCAATTTAAAATGAAACTAGAAAATATGCAGATAAAACAAATTCAAATGATTATAAACTATAATAGGATAGAATCAAAGAGAAAAGTGTGTTGTGTGATGTTCAGCATGTGTTTCAGCAAGTCAAAAAGAGATCCCCGTCTCAGGTTTGTTCCACAGTTCAAACATATGGCACTCGTACTCATAAGAGAAGATACATGTTTATTAGGTTCATCTTCCACCTCGGGTTCAATGTACAATCTACACATTCACGTCCATTTCAGGCCTGCTATAAAGGTCTAATGTCAGTGAGCGTGCCTTTGTTTGAGCAACAGTCCAGGTCATGGGTTACAGTTGACTGAAAGCACAAGCATTTTAAAACAGTGTTAGTCGGACACATGTGTTAGGAATTGCGACGCGATTGCAGCACACATAGGTGACACATTCCTGGACACGTTTAGACACTGTGTTAATAATAAATTAAAGCCACTTGAGTAACCAGAACAAAAAAAAGTGGCATGCTACCATGATTTTAGAGCTCTCCAAAACCCCATACCACTAGAAAAACTTAAGACACAATACCAAGCTTTTTGGCATTGCTTAAAAAAAAAGCAGACTTCTAGCTGTAAGTGATCTCTGAACGTCCATGCAAGCATTCATCCTTCCGTCGGACGGCCCGTAGCCGTAGGTGTGTTGTGTGCAAGCGCTGACCTTTCTGTACGAGAGGCTACATTAAGGGTGTTATCTGGCGTCTGATTTCATCTCAAGCTAACTGAGTGAAGCAGAGCAGCACAAGCCCAGTCCTGCGAGCCTGGATGCTGAACACACACATACGTGAGGGAAAAGAGAAGTTAAGCATTTCTCAGTTTGTGTTGTGCATTCAGGCAAAGCTTTCAAAGTAATGCACTTCATAAATCTGATTTAAGTCTCACAGTCCAGAGTTTTTAGATGAATTGCATCAGACAGATGTAAAGAGTGAGAGATAGACAGAGAGACAGAGAGAGAGAGAGAGCGTTTCCTTCGGTGTGTTTTCACAGACGCTTGATGTTTGCTGTTCATCTGAGGAGTGTGTCCACTGCCACCCGGTCTTCCTCTACTCTGCTGGACACATGTTGCGATCCTTACAGCAGAAGTAGTGAACCACCACACCGTTTGGATACCTGGCAAAGGCACTGGACATGGAGAGGACACAGAAAACATCAAGTACAAAACAATCTCCTCAAACAGTCCTTCAATCATATTGAGCACTAAAAGAGCACAACTGCATGGTTTTCTCAGACTTGGTTTCGGACATTGTGTTTTTTCAGGTTTCATTAAAAATATCTTAATTTGTGTTTCGAAGGTTAACAATTGCACAACAAATGATGACAGAATATTCATTTTTGGGTGAATTATCCCTTTAACATACATGCATTAAAGGGTTACTTCACCCAAAAATGAAAATTAAGTCATTAATTACTCACCCCCATGCTGTACCAACCCCGTAAGGCCTTCATTCATCTTCGGAACACAAATGAAGATATTTTGGATTAAATTTGAGAGGTGGATCACTGCTACACACTGTAAACCCTAATGGTCAAAATAGTTAATTGGTTTGAGTAGGACAAACTTAAATTCAACTAATTAGTTCAGTCAAATTATTTTTTATGAGTATTTAGCACTTTCTTTTTCTTTCAAGTTCACAGAACTGATATATTTTAAGTAAACTGAACTGTTTCATTATTTTGAGTTTTATGAAATTATTTATTTTAATTTAGATTCATTTTAATTATTAGATAGATTAATTTTTTTATTTAATTATTTATAGATTTAATTTCAATTATTTATATGTTAGCATTTACTATGTCAGCAGATTAGCTTTTAAAGCTAACTAAGTTTATACTATTAAAAGTGATTTGAGTTCTGCCAACTTATTCGGGTTTACAGTGTACTTCATAGATTTAAGTTGTAGTAACTAATTAGTACTATTAACTTTATTTACCCAAGTTATCTTAACATAAGTTACTGAGTTACTTGGAAACAAATCAATTTTTTTTTATGCTTAAATTGTTTGAGTTAGTAAACTTAAATGATTTAAGGCAATCGGTTTCCTCAAACGGTTTGAGTTGAACTAACTCATCAGATTTTACAGTGTAAGAGATCGAAACTTGACGGCCCAGAAAGTCAATGAAGAAATGTTTAAATATTTTATGTGACTATAGTGGCTCAACTATAAGTTTATCAAGCGACGAGAATACTTTTTGTGCGAAAAAACATGTGTCGTGGAAATCTCTTGAACTCTCGTCTCAGGCCCACAAGGAAGAAAAGGAATAGTCGAATAAAGTCGTTATTTTTGTTGTTGTTTTTTTTCGCACAAAAAGTATTCTTGTCGCTTGATAAACTTAAAGTTGAGCCACTGTAGTCACATGGAATATTTAAACATTTCTTCATTGACTTTCTGGGCCGTCAAGTTTCGATCCCTTAGGTAGCCTATGCAGCAGTGATCCACCTCTCAAATTTAATCCAAAATATCTTCATTTGTGTTCTGAAGACGAACGAAGGTCTTACGGGGTTGGTACAGCATGGGGGTGAGTAATTAATGACTTAATTTTCATTTTTGGGTGAACTAACCCTTTAATTCTAATCACATATATAGGCCTATGTCACGGAAAAATTGAAGACCGGAAGTACGTCTTTTAGTAGGGATACGGCTCTTCCGGTTAGCTTTTTACAATGGTGAGGTCCGATAGATACCGCTGGACCAAATCTCTCCGCAACCTGCCTGAAGTCATATATGACGATGTGATTCGGGTGGTAAATGAAAACGCTTAAGTGGGAAAGCGTCAAAGCTGAGGTATGGCGGTCTACGTCCTGATGCAGAGCAACCGCAACAACAGCCGCGGGTAGCTCTAGCCGTTCGCCAGTAAGGTAAACGTTTCTATGGTAACAGCGAGTTGGACCAATCAACGGACGTTGCTGCTATGCTTAGGATTGTGGGTAGTGTAGTTTTTTTTCATAAGATCGTGGATGAAATCAGCTTTGAGCAAAGCTGATTTCATATAAACTGACAGCTTCAACAGGAGCAACAACCTTCGTTTCTCAACCTCATAGCTTGTGGTCAGTCTACCTCGGATGGTTTAGACATTAGGGCTGATAATCTAAATCCTTATCGAGAAATACTGTTGACCGGAAGTTCTGTATCCCTACTCCACGTTCCGGAAGCAGGAAGTGTGACATAGGCTTATTGTTAAGGACAAACTTTGTGCATGCATTCCAATGAATACTCCACATTGCGGCAATATGTCAGATTCTCCACCAGGAAACGGTTGTGTTAATCTGACAGTTACAATAATAGAGACCCCAGGTGCTTGAGTCTGTATAACATTCAATTTAATAGTTCAGAATTGAACTTAAGTAATATGAATCATCAGACTAATTTTGGCTTGATTCATCTATTGTTGTGCGTGTTTTATGTGATCACACATGCATGTAATGCATTTAATAAAGATGCGAACCGCCCTGTCCTAAATGGCACCCTAAGCTCTTGCGGTCTTCCAACATGTTCACACTATCGTGATTGAAGGCGCATATCGACCCTATTGTAAGTCCACAAGGCTGTAAGTGCATATAAAGTGTGCCATTTGTGCCAGACTGCCTGAAAGGCCAGTTCGTGGTGTAGCAAGGCAAATGCATTACGTAAATGATCATTGCAATAATGTGAGGCACACCTGTTTCCGATCTTCTTCTTACACACTCTGCAGGTCTTTTCATCTGTGATGACACACTTCACCTGCTGGTGAAAGATACGTTCCTCCTGCACCTGCACACGGACAAATAAAAAGTAATTAGAATATTATTAAAGGGGACATATTATGCACTTTACAAAGTCTGGATTTTGTTTTTGGGCTATACTAGTATACATTTTAAGCTTGAATGTTAAAAAAACACATTATTTTTCCCATATTCTCCATTAATGCAGCTCCTCTCTTCCCAGTCTGTCAGTAACTCTCTGTTTAGTTCCGGTCTCTAACCACACCAATCCTTCTGAAAAGCACAGTGTGCTCTGATTGGTCGCTGGAGCAGTGTGTTGTGATTGAACAAGCACTTTGATTGTTTTTGGGAAATTACCAAAACGTCTCTGGTTACGTATGTAACCTTAGTTCCCTGAAGGGAACGAGACGCTGCGTGTAAACGCCGTGGGAACGCCTCTGCGTGATGAGTCATGAAGCACGTATGAAATCTGTCCAATGGCGAGACGGAACGTCATAGGCGGGGTGACGTATCGACCAGGAAACTATAAAGCATCCCCGAAACACAAGCGCAACAGCTTCTGATAGGACTGAAGCAAGCGCTCACGGGCATGCTGGGAGTATGGCATGGACACGCAGCGTCTCGTTCCCTTCAGGGAACTAAGGTTACATACGTAACCAGAGACGTTCCCATTCAGGGAACTTCGAGCTGCGTGTAAACGCCGTGGGAACGCTAATACCAACGCCGCCATGCGAGCAGGTGTCCGTTGTATGAAATCAGGCACATATTTAGACGAAAGCACCTGCGCCCCTGGAGCGGAGCTACCATACCCCTGGTTGAGTGAGCCCAGACAGCCAAAGGAGAAGGCTGACCGGCGGACTCATATGCAAGTGAGATGGCCTCGACCACTCACTTACTCAACCTCTGCTCAGATGCGGGACAACCTTTCTTCGGAGGTCCAAAACAAACAGATAACTGTTCAGGCTTTCTCCACAGGGCAGCTCTGTGGACATAAGCATCTAGAGCCCTCACAGGGCAGAGCAGATTAGTTTCTCTTGGTCTGACCTCACAATACCACGAAGAAAAAGAATTACCAATGGGTATCTCCCGTGAAAAGCTCCACTCAAAGGGACGTGGTAAGCAGATAGGCCACCACATACACCTTTAGTGTGGAGTGGGATAACCCTGTGGAGAAATGCTCCTGAAGGAATTCCAGCACCGCCACACCGGGCAGTTAACTGGGTCCAACTGGTGTTCTCCACACCAAGAGGTGAAACATTTCCACCTCAAGGCATATAATCTCCTCGTGGACGGAGCTCTGGATTGGAGGATGGTCTCCACGACCTCAGTCGAGAGACCCGATTCTATGAGCTGGGCCCCCTCAGAGGCCAAGCCACAACCTCCATAGATCTGGGTGGGGGTGAAGTATCGACCCGCATCCATACTCGGGCCGGCCAACGCGGGGCTACTAACAGTAGAAAGACCCCGTCTCGGTGAACCCTCTCCAGAACTCCTGGGAGCAGAGCAATCGGGGGAAATGCGTACAGGGGTGACCTCGGCCACTCCTGTACCATCGCATCCAACCCCAGAGGGGCTGGTGGATACAGAGAAACCACAGCATGCAGTGTCTCAGTCCCTGGATTCAAATAGGCCTACCTCGGTATGACCGAAATGACCTCGGACCTGATCTGTGACACAATCTGCTTGAGAGTCAGCATTTTGAGCTTCCCTACTGACCGATTTAAGAGGCGCAGGTCTAAAATCGGACGCAGCCCCCCATCCTTCTTTGGAACAATGAAGTACCGGCTGTAATACCCCAGCTCTCTGTCGGGAGAAGGAACTCGTTCTATCGCCCCCTTCAGTAGCAGAGCTTTCACTTCTTGTTCCATAACCAGAGCCTGCTCGGGGGTCACCACTGTGGGCAAAACCCCCCGAAAACGAGGTGGACGCGACCTGAACTGGATCGCGTACCCGCGTTCGATAGTCTGCAGGACCCAACGAGATATATTTGGAAGACTTCCCCATTCTACCAGAAATTCTACTAAGGGTACCAGTCTCTCGAGACTGGCCTCTGGAGTAGTTTTTAAAACAGAAACAGCGCCCTGTGACCGCGCACAGGCAGGGTTTAACGACCGTTCTGTATCGCTCCTCGAAGCAAACGAGCGTCCCTCGGGAAATCGCTCGCTGGGACCGTCTGCACCCCCCATTACAGGCAGGGTTGGCAGAACGAACCCCTGAGGGCACCGAGAGAGAGCGGGCGCCGGATTCAGCGGCGAACACCTCTGTCTCACGGTGGGGACCACCCTCAGTAGCCTGACACCAGTGGCGTCAGGACTTCTTCGACGAAACCTTCCTGGCGACAGTAACCGTCCTCAGATCGGTTCTATCCCGGGAAGACCTCGCCTGAGAACGCCGCGTCTCAGCCCAGTTTTGCTGGGGAGGAGCTTCCACAGAACCACCAAAAAGACCTTCGGTCGACAGCGGCGCATCCAGGAGAAAAGCTTTAACTTTCTCCTTCATATTAGCCAGATTTAGCCACAGATGCCTCTCCGTGGCCACCAGGGCTGCCATAGAGCGGCCGACTGATCTGGCCGTCTCCTTGGTGGCACGGAGAGAAATATCTGCTGCCTGACGCAGCTCATTAACGCTGAATAAGCTTTGCCCACCAAAACCGAAGTATTTCTGAGTGGCTTGGTTTTTTTTTTTTTTTTTTTTTTTTTGGCAACGCCGGTGTTTTAAAAAGACGATGCCGTCTCAGGAGAAAGATGGCTAGCCAAAACTTCCTCCATCCTCGGCATCGCCCCATAACCGTGTCTCCTAGACCCAGCAATATTAGCATACATAGAGGTCTGGTGTGTCAAAATTCTAGCTGACACTGGTTTGTTCCACGATCTACACACCTCGGTGTGTAGATCGGGAAAGAAGGGCAAACACCGGCGTGGAGGTAGTGAGTGTGATTTTAAAAATCTCTCATCCATTTTACTCTTCACTCTGGACTCTTGTTTCTCAACTGGCCATTCAATGCTTAATTTTTCCACAGCCCGAGTCAAAACCTCCATCAGCTCTACATTCGCGGGAGACTGGGATGGCGAGTCCCCGATCTCCACTGAGTCCATAGACTCTGCCTCCACACTTTCAATATCCAGCTCCTCAGAACTGGATAATTGAAGTGATGGCGCCTCAGCCCGGGCAGGAGAAACCGCAACGCGGTCCCCCGCAGCGAAATCTGAGGCACTGGATCTACCAGGTAAGGGCAGAGAAAGGGCGGGGCCCGTCTCAATCCCCGCTGATAGATCCATCTGCGATCCCCACGACGCAAGCCTTCGCTGTGCCTCGGCAGCAGCGGGACCCGAGCCGCGGGGAGCGCGCACCGAACCACTCTCCTCGAAGAGTGCCCGGCGGGAGCGAAGTGTCTTCATGGGCAGACACTCGCAGTGCTCACAGCCGGCCCCCTCGAGAGCCGACTGAGCATGCTGCACTCCCAAACAAACAACACACAGATCGTGTGTATCCCCACCCTTGATGAAGCAAGGGCAGGGACGAACACACTTTCTGAAATTCTGCTGTTGTTTGCTCGCCATATCAATATATATATATATATATACAATATTAGACAGACAGACAAAATTCATACACAGAGCGCTTGTGAAGACTCAGAAGCTGTTGCGCTTGTGTTTCGGGGATGCTTTATAGTTTCCTGGTCGATACGTCACCCCGCCTATGACGTTCCGTCTCGCCATTGGACAGATTTCATACGTGCTTCATGACTCATCACGCAGAGGCGTTCCCACGGCGTTTACACGCAGCTCGAAGTTCCCTGAATGGGAACTGCCAGTTTCTAACTAACTCAACCAGGCCCAGCCCTTTTATTCTGTGTATAAATTAGGTAAATGAGGAATATTGTGATGTGTTTGTTCCTGAAAGAAACTCAAGACTACAATGGAGGCATTTCAGGAGTTTAGAAACACTGACACTGATATAGAGAAGAACTCCCACTGTGCTTTGGATACCCCTTTTCCACCAAAGCATTTTGAGAGCCGGTTCGGAGCCGGTGCCTCCTCACGAACCAGTTCTTTGTGTTTCGACAACCAAAGAACCGGTTCTCGGCACCACCTCTTTGCTGGACTAGAACGGTTCTTTTACCACGTCATGCTTACGTTGAGGGGCTGGGGGCGGGGTTATTGTGACCAACAACATGGCGGGAATGGGAACCCTAACACCGTGTCCTAACTACACGCGACGCGATAAAATTCCAGCGATAGCAAGTGTGTTTGTCCACACGCGACTGTGAGACGCCACACGTCAATCAAAAATCACAGCCATTCAGAACAGCGTGAAAGCGCACAGCTGACCCGCACTCGCATTGGAAATGGGTAAGGACATAATCATATCAATCTAACATTAGAAAATTAAAGCTGCAAGCAGCGATGGGCGGGCCCTCGCACCTGTAGCGCGTCGGTGTGTGAGGCGGCCGCATTGCATATTTTGCAGCTCAGCAGGTACGGCTGTGCATTTGCTACTCTGCTTCGTTAAAGGTCACTTCCTGTTGCCAGCAGGTGGCGCTATGACTGTGGGTGAATGTCGGCATGTAGATTTGTTCAGGGTGGGACTCTTGTCAAATGTGTCAAATTTCGTGCAGATCTGGGCATTTACAGCCAAGTTACTACAACTTCCTGTTTCATGGCGAATCATCGACGCCACGGACACGCCCATCGACGAAAACGCGCAGATAGCACAACTTTACATCGTCAATGCCTTTAGAAGGCACAGCAGAAATTTGAAGTCGATCCGACTAAATCCCTAGGAGGAGTTCGTAAAATTACGGAGTGTGTAAATCGTCCCAAAATGGGCGCCAAATTCAAAATGGCCGCCAAATTCAAAATGGCCGACTTCCTGTTGAGTTAAGGGTATGGGTTCTTGAGGCTTTTTTTTGCGTCTTGATAATGATACACGTCCCCACCAAATTTCCTGCTTGTAGGTTGAACGTGGACAAGGGGCTAATTTTTTCCAATTTTCTAGGTGGCGCTAGGGAGCCATTTTGCCACGCCCATCCGCGAAACCCACAAAATACGAAATTTTTCACCAGTCCTGACATGCGTGCCAAATTTGGTGAGTTTTTGAGCATGTTGCGGCCCCGAAAATGGCGCTTACTTTGCAGAAAAAAGAAAAAAAATAACCCTAACAGTTTCAATAGGGTCCTCGCACTGTTAGTGCTCGGGCCCTAAAAATCAAAACATTAACAAAATATACTCATTGACTAATTTTGTTATGAAGTACAGTTGTATGTTTGCATAGAATTCATTTTGAACGCTATATTATATGCTTTCAAAACCTGAGGTAAATTATCCGTTATCGCTTGTGGCACAGTGAGCTATTTTTAACTAAAAATAAATAATGTGTACTCATAACCAGTGTAATTTCTTCATTCTGTCAGCCGCGACGTCGCAGAAATAGGAACCGTTTCTAAATTAGAAACTTCATCTGTCGCGTCTGGTTAGGGTAAAAACTCTGATTAACATGGAAAAGATACCTTTTATCGCGTGTCGCGTCGCGTGTAGTTAGGACACGGTGTAAGACCTATGGCGACGGACACAGTGATGTAATTGGCTCTCTAGTCAGTGGAAAAACAAACAGATTCTGAGAATGTTGGCAAGCTGAACCAACTTTGAAACAGCACCAGTTCTGAACCGGTTCTTTTTTGGAACTTTTTCTGTTCTTTTTTTTTCTTTTTTCAAACAACAACATTGATTGTGGCATATGAAAAAACACTGAAGTTTGCTAGGCCAAAAAGACCGTTAATCGCGCGATAAAAATTTACGCCGTTAAAATAGGTTTGCGTTAACGCCTTAACGCGTTTAACTTACAGCCCTAATATATATATATATATATATATTAGGACCACATAAAAAAAATACAAGGGACAGGTTGGATCGGAATTAGTGATGAAAAAAAATTTGTGTAGAGTCTGTTTTAGTACTGTCTTTTCCAGTAACAAGTTCGATTTTTTTACAAGTAACTGTAATTTGAAAAAATAAATAAATAAATAAATAAAAATACAGATGCATCGGCACAGTGTTTTAAAACACAGAATTGAATTAATTACACAGCTTCAGAAGGAAATGAATCAATCATTTAAGTATCAGACCAAACCACTGTTCGGGAGTAAACATACCCGCAGGAACTCGGCCTGTAGGAGGCTCTTCAGGACCTGGTCGAAGCGCTTCCTTCCAGCCTTCTCCTCCAACACACTCTCCAGGAACACCTTGATCTCGCGGATCTGTGTGTTGGCTGGCAGCAGGTTTATGGCCTTATGAAGGAGACAGAGACGAGCATTTAAACATCGCCGTGGATTCTGCATTGTGGTTTGGACAGTTCTGTTCAGGAATCGGTCTGAAAGTGTAAATGTTTCCCTACACAGTAATGCATATGTTCAGAGCTCAGTGGCAGCAGAAGGACTGGCATCTGACAACATGCCAACACTGGGTCTCGTTTCCTCCGCCAGCATCTTAAACGACGTGTTGACATCAGCAGAATTGAACTGTGTAGCACTTCAACACACACGCTCTCCGTTCACTCTCTTCATGTCTACAGCACATGCTTCACTCCCTCACACACTCTCTCAGTCTTATTTAATTGGGGCTGGCAACACACACTTAAGGTCCGTTTACACCAAGAACGATACAACTAAATTAGGGTTCACACCGGTGGATGATATCATTCTGTTTATTCTAAGCACATACTGCAGTTTTGTCAACTGTTGCTTTAAATGCTCAAGCTCTTTAAATGCAGGATGGATTCTGATTGGCTGTCAATGTTTATATCATTTATCAGCTGAGAAAAAAAATAATTGAAAGCGATTCTATGGAAGTATAATAATGCCAAATGTTTTCGAAACAAAAAAGCCTGTTGAATTGCACTACTTGAGTTTGAATATTTTTGAAGTGAAATATGAAAGGTGAATATGGATGATTGAATTTTTAATAATGAAAATGTGTTTGAAATGTTTTGAATTGAAATATTCACAGCTTAAAGGGTTAGTTCACACAAAAATGTAAATTCTGTCAGTAATTACACACCCTCATGTTGTTCGAACCCTGTAAGACCTTCGTTCATCTTCGGAACACAAATTAAGATATTTTTGATTAAATCTGAGAGGTGGATTACTCCTGCATACTAGTCCATAGGCTTCTTGAGGAACTGAAACTTGCTGGCCTCTAAAAGACGAGACGAGAACACTTCAACAAAAATAACGACTTTATTTCAACTATTCCTTTACTTCTCTCTCTGCCTCGAGTCAGGTTACTAGTTTAATCGCGTAAGCTTCTGCTATTGTACGTCACACGCCAGTGATGCGCGGGTCAATGTATAAACAACCCGCAACCGACCGACGTTTTCAACTACCCGCCCGCAACTCGGACCGCAAAAAAAAAAAGTAAAAAAATATTGTACCCGACCCGCTTCCTGACCGCATTTTTTAAAAGTAGCAAATGCTCATCGGAGCGTTATTGGGCCATATAGACGTGTAACAACACAGCATCGCAAGAAGACGTAGGCCTACACATAACAAAGGCAAAGCCAGTCATCAGCTTTCATTATTTCAGCAAATGTCTCCCACACTTTTACTCTTTCTATTTGTGTATTTGCGGAGCTTCCACTCCCCAGTCTTCACCTTTTCTCTTGCCGCCTCCATCTCTCTGCAGACTGTAGTGATCATAGACATGGCCGGTTCGTGAACGAATTGTTCTTTTGAACCGGTTCTTTTTAGTGAACCGGTCGAACCAGTACACTAAATCGAACTGAATCGTTCGAAACAGTTCGCGTCTTGCGTCAGCGCTAAACCACAAGTTACTAAAGTTACTCACTTTCGGACATGCCTGACAGTCCATCCGAATCGAAATAAATCAATATCCTGAATTTCCCTAGTCCAGTAACTCGAAAAGTTCACTGAACCGAGACATGTTGGTGCCACTGTTGAGAGAAGTGATGAGCACGAGCAGCTGATACTGCGCATAGATACTGCGTAGGCTACTACCGAACGCACAGGGACAGCGGTTCTCGAATCACCAGAACCGAGAACTGTTTAGACTGCAGCTTGTGTGTTATCTTCGTGCCAGTATTCAGCCAATAATGTGTAGGGCTGTATATTTCATCAAAAATTGTGTCTAGTACTATATTAGCTAATACAAATGTTTTAGTTTAATTGGCATCTTTTTTCAAACGACCCGACCGACCGCGACCCGAATATCATTAAAAACATTTTTGGATGACCCGTAACTGCGGGTAACCGCGGGTGACCGCAGGCACCCGCTCATTTCGGATCAACCCGCGCATCACTGGTCACACGCATCACACACATGACCAGCGTCGGCCAATAGTGAGCCTGCGTAGCTCTACGCTATCACACTACGTTAACTGACTAGAGGCCCATAGAGAAGGAAGTGAATAGTTGAAATAAAGTCATTATTTTTGTTTGTTTTTGCGCACAAAAAGTTTTCTCGTCGCTTGATAAACTTAAGATTGAGCCACTTGGACTATTTTAACGATGTCTTTAATAACTTTTCGAGGCTGGCAAGTTTCAATTCCTCAAGAAGCCTATGGACTAGTATGCAGGAGTGATCCAGCTCTCAATTTTCATCAAAAATATCTTAATTTGTGTTCCGAAGATGAAACAAGGTGAGTAAATACTGACAGAATTTTCATTTTTGGGTGAACTAACCCTTTAAATATTCAAACTTGCTGAATTACAGTCCATAAAATGTGAGCCCTAAAAATACAATGCATTAAAATGCAAGCATTGTTAATGCTATGCCTATTTTTTTAAGTAGTGCAATTCAACAGGCTTTTTTTGTTTTAAAAACATTTGGCACTATTTTAATTCCATGCTATCCCAACTATATGGTTCCTCTGTGCCGTTTTAGCTGTGGTGTGAACTTGGCTATTGTTTTATATCATTATCACCCTTGGTGTGAAAGGCCCTTTATTCAATTTGACTATTTCAGTGTGTTACTATAAATTTGATTTCTTAAAACTGAGAAAATAAATATTTTGAAATACTAACCAAGACTGAGAAACACCAAATTAGGACACGTTTGCATCCCGGGTCAGCGATCAATTAAACACTGAACTGGACTTGATCCAAAAAGAAACAGTATGGACCAAAAAAGGATTTAAGTCCTCTTTCAAGGGCTGGGATGATGTACGTAAAGAGAACTGGGTACTTTTTCACTTGGTTGAGCTCTTGGTGCACTTAAAGGAGTGTGCGTTGGGTTCTTTTAAAGATGTTCTTTTTAACATCAAGTGTGTGTGTGTTATTCAAGGGTTCTGCTCTACGGATGCTGACTGGAGTCTATGATACTGTTAGTGTTTGGTGGAAACTCACTTTGGTGGTGTTCAGTTTGCTGTGGTGGAGCTGAAGGACGTTCAGGGCCGCCTGGAGGTTGGCTTGTGGCTCACATAACTCCATCTTTATGGGCCCGAGGAAGTGCACGTCCGGTGGAGACAGATACATGCGCAGGAGGGACAGATACACCTACAGACAGACTCTGTTAAAGGGTTAGTTCACCCAAAAATGAAAATTAAGTCATTAATTACTCACCCCCATGCTGTTCCAACCCCGTAAGACCTTCGTTCATCTTCGGAACACAAATAAAGATATTTTTGATTGAATCTGAGAGCTGGATCAGTCCTATAGACTGCCTAAGGGACTGCTCTTGACGGCCCATAAAGTCATTAAAGAAAAGGTTTAAATATTCCATGTGCCTACAGCGGCTCAATTATAAGTTTATCAAGCGACGAGACTACTTTTTGTGCGAAAAAAACCCATAAATAACGACTTTATTCCACTATTCCATTACTTCCTTATGGGCGCATGCGCGAGAACTGAGACGAGGACGTTCTCATTCGTCTACTTCTTGTTACCGGCTGCTCACCGCTTAGGAGTTTTACCGCCCCCTACCGTATAAGATGATGTGCTGATATAGCTGGAAGCGCAAAACTTTCTGTTTACAAGCAGAGGAAGATGCGCGCTGTACATACGCTTTTCAATTAGCGTATTTTCCGCACTATAAGGTGCACTTAAAAGCCTTTAATCTTCTCAAAAAACGACAGTGTTCCTTATAATCCGGAGCGCCTTATATATGGATCATCATCTTATACGGTAGGTGGCGGTAATACTCCTAAGCGGAGCAGCCGGTAACAAGAAGTAGACGAATGAGAATGTCCTCGTCTCAGTTCTCGCGCATGCGCCCATAAGGAAGTAATAGAATAGTGGAATAAAGTCGTTATTTATGTTTTTTTCGCACAAAAAGTAGTCTCGTCGCTTGATAAACGTATAATTTAGCCCGCTGTAGGCACATGGAATATTTAAACCTTTTCTTTAATGACTTTATGGGCCGTCAAGAGCCAGTCCCTTAGGCATTCTATATAGGACTGATCTAGCTCTCAGATTCAATCAAAAATATCTTTATTTGTGTTCCGAAGACGAACGAAGGTCTTACGGGGTTGGAACAGCATGGGGGTGAGTAATTAATGACTTAATTTTCATTTTTTGGTGAACTAACCCTTTAACATTTAGACAAGTTGTGTTGGAACAATACACCCATTGTTTGGGATTGACAACCATATTTACAGTTACTCTCACACAACAGCTTACAGCAGCCAAATGAATACTGAATGAATTATGTATGTGAGAGTGACTATAGTAAATATTAAAGATGTTCAATTCAATGTATGAAAAGTATTATTATCACAAATGACACAATGTAACTAAAGAGTTCAATTGAGGTGTGAGTTTTTGCATGTCTTATTTCCTTAACTGTTATACTTTCAAATTATTAATTCACAACCTCATAATAATTCACTTTTATATTTATATGTTAAAAGTTTGTGATGAAATGAAGGATTTTAGTGGTTTAATTATAGAATTAAGCTAATATACACTCACCTAAAGGATTATTAGAAACACCATACTAATATTGTGTTCTTTATTAATATACTAATATTTGCGGGATGCACATCCAGGGCACAAAGCTCCCGTTCCAGCACATCCCAAAGATACTCTATTGGGTTGAGATCTGGTGACTGTGGGGGCCATTTTAGTACAGTGAACTCATTGTCATGTTCAAGAAACCAATATTTGAAATGATTGGAGCTGTGTGACATGGTGCATTATCCTGCTGGAAGTAGCCATCAGAGGATGGGTACATGGTGGCCATAAAGGGATGGACATGGTCAGAAACAATGCTCAGGTAGGCCGTGGCATTTAAACAATGCCCAATTGGCACTAAGGGGCCTGAAGTGTGCCAAGAAAACATCCCCCACACCATTAAACCACCATCAGCAGCCTGCACAGTGGTAACAAGGCATGATAGATCCATGTTCTCATTCTGTTTACGCAAAATTCTGACTCTACCATCTGAATGTCTCAACAGAAATCGAGACTCATCAGACCAGGCAACATTTTTCCAGTCTTCAACTGTCCAATTTTGGTGAGCTCTTTCAAATTGTAGCCTCTTTTTCCTATTTGTAGTGGAGATGAGTGGTACCCAGTGGGGTCTTCTGCTGTTGTAGCCCATCCGCCTCAAGGTTGTGTGTGTTGTGGCTTCACAAATGCTTTGCTGCATACCTCGGTTTTAACGAGTGGTTATTTCAGTCAAAGTTGCTCTTCTATCAGCTTGAATCAGTCGGCCCATTCTCCTCTGACCTCTAGCATCAACACGGCATTTTCACCCACAGGACTGCCGCACACTGGATGTTTTTCCCTTTTCACATCATTCTTTGTAAACCCTAGAAATGGTTGTGTGTGAAAATCCCAGTAACAGAGCAGAACCTGACATCAAGACTAGATTATTGTAAAGCTCTACTGGGTGGTTGTCCTGCACGCTTAATAAACAAACTTCAGCTGGTTCAAAATGCAGCAACTCGAGTTCTTACCAGAACCAGGAAGTATGACCATATTAGCACGGTTCTGTCAACACTGCATTGGCTGCCTATTAAACATCGTATACATTTTAAAATATTGTTGATCACTTACAAAGCACTAAATGGTTTAGCTCCCCAGTACTTGAGCGAGCGCTTAACGCATTATAGTCCTTCACGTCTATTTCGTTCTCAAAATTCTGGCCAGTTAATAATACCTAGAATATCAGAATCGACTGCAGGCGGTAGATCCTTTTCCAATTTAACACCAAGACTGTGGAATAGTCTTCCTACCATACCAAGACACATCCCTTTGCCCTAGCATACACAAAATACATTATCGACTTCTATAATTCAATGTTAGGTTGCTTAGATTAGGTCAGCCAGAACTGGGAACACTTTCCTTCAATCCTGATGTACTCGTTACATCATAAGAAGAATGGCATCTACGCTAATTTGAGTGTATTTGTTTATCCTGAGGTTTTGCTGCAGCCTGCCGTATCCAGACCCGATGATGATGAAAATGCAGTGCTGAAGTGCCAACTAGCCCTATGGAGGATCCCTTTTCCCACTCTACAGATAAAGCATTGTGAATTTTGTTACCCCAAAGTGATAAAATAAAATTCTGTATCAAATTTATAGACAAGTAGTTTTTTCAGGCATGGTTTTATAAGGATTTACAAACCTGTGCACATATATTCAAACGCACATAACTACAGAGGCTACGTTCACACTGCAGGCTGAAACGACCTAATTCCGATTTTTTTGCCCCTATGCGACCTGTATCTGATTTTTTCATGACAGTCTGAACGACACAGATCCGATTTTTTTTAAAATGCGACCCAGGCCACTTGGGTATGTGGTCCAAATCCGATATGTATCCGATCTTTTGAAATGCGACTTCAATCTGAACGGCCAGGTCACATATATCCGACCCGCACGTCATTGCACGCACCTGTTGCTAGCCAATACACGCTAACTCCAACGCGTTTCTGCACTGTTATGGGCCGCTGCAGACGTGTCTCTTCCCCAGTGTTGTGCCTGAACGCATTCATATACTGTATTACTGCCTGATGAACATTACTGTGAACACGTTCATTCTGGTGTCTGTGAACGTGCGCTCTCTGTCAGTATAACTTCGTGGGTGCCAGATTTCTATAGAGCCTTCCAGACGAAAACCTGGCTAAAACACATGTATACATGCCTTAAAATGTAGCGAAAAAACACCCAATCTGGCAACACCAGCCACCAGTGTCGCACCGCGGCCGCCGGTGACAAAGCAAGGAGCGCCGAGGACGCGCACTATCAATTAAACGGGTTTTATGACGAGGTCGGTGAGGATCGGAAAAATCTTACATTTATGTGCAAACTTTGCCCATCGATAAAATAATCGTTGTCTGTGCTTGTATATGGGCTGTGGCAATAATAATAATAAAACAAAAGCTCGCAACATATGGAAAAAAAGAACTATTCCGCAAACAACCCAAACAACAAGTGACGTCGTTGACCGTTGATTACTCTTCTGTGCATGCGGGTCACTTCTGGATCATTTCACGTTCACACAGGAGATCACAAAAGGTCGCATTTAATTGGAAATGTGAACGACCTTGCAAAAAAATCTAATTTTTTCAAAAAATCGGAATTGAGCATTAAGCCCTGCAGTGTGAACGTAGCCAGAATCAATTTTTAATGCGCATGTGAACGCCATCAGTGTTTATCACATGTTCGCGTTTAAAGTCTGTTTAGAGACATTGATATACATTTTTACCTCACAGTTACTGTAAATCCAGCCTCTAGTTCATAAACGCCAGAGGAGAACTGGTCCCCGACTGAGCATGGGTTCTCCCAAGTTTTTTTTTTTCTCCATTAGGTCACCTGATGGAGTTTTTCGGTTCCTTGCCACTGTTACTTTTGGCTTGCTCAGTTTGGGATATTCACATTAATTAACCAATCAGTAATATCCTTGATCAGCTCAACCAAACGTGGATGTTTTTCCACTAAGAAACAAACATTATATTATGTTTTGATTGATACTGTGAAGCTGCTTTGATGCAATCTATTTTGTGAAAAGCGCTATATAAATATACTTGACTTGACTGAAGCAACTGCCATGTGATTGGTTGATTAGACAATTGCATTAATGAGAAATTGAACAGGTGTTCCTAATAATCCTTTAGGTGAGTGTATATAATAACTAGGGTCCTCATAATGTATGATTTCACTAGTAGATTACAAAGCAAATTATATTACTGGATACACTAAAAAAAATTAATTAATTTCGAATTCAATTAATAGTAAAATTCCATGAAACTGCATTGAATAATCCTTACATTTACAAGATTTTTTAATGAGTTAAAAAATATTGCTTAAAACATTTTGTATAAATCCTAGTGGAACAAGGAAATGGACCATTTAGTTTATGTGATTCGTATTCATAAATTAAAAAGGGTAAAAAAATTGTATAAAAAATTATTAACTGAGATGCGTAAATCTTGAAAAAAGGCTTAATTTTTGGATAAAGAGAAAATGCAATCACTAATTTACTATCATAATTTGTAATGTGTATATATATATATATAAAACTTTTAATTATTATATGAATGTTTTTAATTATTATATGAATATGAATAATAATTAATCAGTAAATAAATCCATAATGCACTGATTTAGTCAGTGTACAAGCTATTGAGTCTAACACAATTCTGTATTTGCAGCAAAGCAAACTATGAGTATTTCTATGCTGATGTCACCGTTGGGACCAGGACTCACATTTCAGTAATGCGCAAAATATTTAGCATTCATTTTACTCTTACTTTCACTAACAATAAGTACATCATGATTGCTGGTGGGTTTTCACTACAAAACAACACAAAAACATGCCACAAAGCAGCAGCAAATTCTTTCATTTCGGGCTGCAGAAATCAGAAAACGTCTACTGGTGTTTGGGACTGTTGAATTATTCAAGACTACGCAACATGTAGAATTACAATGTTAAAATGAAACCAGATGAAATAACACTGGTGGAAAGTGGCCAAGTAGCACTCACGTCTTTATTGCCGTTTGCTGCTGGATCATAGTGACTGTGGCAGTACCTGAGAACATCACAACACACAGAAAACACAGTGAACGCAGGAACATTAGAGAAGGTTACGAGTGACAGCAGCTTGAGTTTAAAGTCAGATTCCTTATAATGAAACAGTCAACATGAAATGCAATGCATTTTACTACTCTATACAGTTTGTAGTGACAGGATAATCAACACAAAAAAGGTGGAACTTGAGGTTTTTGTGAATTGGTAGGTGGCAATTAATTAACAGAGGGCATTTAATATCAGAATGAAGTCAGGAACATGGAAGCTAAAGGTTCAGAGCCTCTGCACAATGTCATTTGGTATTATTGCTGCAACTTTGATAGCCTACATTTAAACTTTGGGCCCTATTTTAACAATCTAAAATGCAAGTGTTAAGCGCAAAGCACAAGAAACTTTGTAGGCGAATCACGCCGCTGTTGCTATTTAAACGGTGGGATAAATGACTCTTGCTCGACACATATCTGAAAGGGGTTGGTCTGAAGTAGCTTTATTATTTATAGGTGTGGGGCGAAACGGGAAACAAACCAATAAGAGCGTCATATCACATTTCCTTTAAGAGAATGATGAATGAGGTGCGCTTGTTCCATGGTGCAATACTATTATGGCGCATTTACCAGGCGCGCTTCAATCGGTTCACAGCCAAAGAGATCGTTGTTCTCGTCAGGGGGGATGGGACAAACCCACCCAAATTAGCTTTGGCATGCATGTAATGTAATTTGGTTAAATGTGTAACTTAAAGGTGGAATACCTAAGATTTTTGCATTCAAATATCCCAAAATCAAAAGGCTAGTGTTATATATTTAGTTATGATGATAACTCACAATATTCCAAATGTTTCAAACAATGTTTAAATCGCGAGAAAATTTAGATTTTAACCAAGGAAACGGGGCGTATGAGCAGGGGTGAGCTGGGAGTCGCCAGTCAATCGCGTCATATCCGCTTACCTCGGTTTCCGCTCGTACTACGTGTAGTCCTGGACAAATGCGGTAGTTGTGCGTTAGCGTCTATCAAGCAACAAACGTCAGCTTGTTTCGCGCATTTGTTACGGAATGGAGCACAATTATTCTTTTCATTTATTCTCGGAATGTGAACTGTTGGCTGTAAAGGGGGTCGCACACTGGACGAGAAGCGCCACGCCACGTTTAGGACAACTCCACAGTATCGAACACCGGACGCGCACTTTCTCATCAGTGTATGGCCAGCAATATTGTTATGTTTAATGACATGAAAGAAAGATAATGTCTGTTCTATGTTATGATTGTACTGTACAATTAAATACAATCGTTGCTGAGTTTGCATTCTGAAAACTTTACCTCAGAGCATCCGTTAACTGAATGAATTGAGAATCTCACCTGAAAAATCTAATAATAACATCAGCAATTGTCATTTAAGCAGCTGATTTCTGTAAATGACTGCAAAACTAAATGCATATTGCAGCATAGGGCGAAGTCAGGATCCATTAGCAACGATTTGAGACAAAAATAATTAAAATTTTATATAAAACTATGTAAATGGCGCTCTGTGGCGCAGCAGGATTTTGAACACGGTCCTGAGGCGTTGTTGCTGGGCACCGCGGACAGACGCCGAATGGCGCCGCCGGTATGTGTAACGTTACACTTATAGATAATAATGTTTTCGAATTTTAAAGATGTGGTGCGACGCGGCGCTGCAGCCTCTCGTCCGGTGTGCGACCCCCTTAACGTTAATTTTGTGAAACTGTAGCTGTGGTTGAACACTTACACGACATGAAAAGATGTGTCAAATGTACATTAAATTGATTTTTTATTTTTATAAAGTTACCAAGGAGGACCAGCCACGTCAACTCCTTGCAAGAGACCTGCCCCTTCAAACCCTCTCCACCATAGCTTCGTCCAGTGACTTGTACAGTAACTAATTTACTTTTAAACCTGACTTTTCTTGCGGTTATTTCAGTTTGAAAAACAAGCATGTCATTAAACGCAACGTTTATAGAAATCGAACTTTACCTCATCCATGACAACTAATTTTCGATTCCCGTCTGACTGATTTATCCACGGTGGAGTTGAAAACAACAGTTCCCATCATTCCGCGTTCCTCCACGTCGTCATCAAGCAAAGCCGTTGTTGTTGTTTTGAATGTAGCGCCCTCTAGCGGCATCTAAATCTTAGGTATTGCAGCTTTAAGCTTTATGCCTATTTTTCCCATAGTCATGGACACAACAACGATTTTCCTTGTGTTTTAATATTTTTCCATAATAATGCATCATTTGCAAAAAGTAAAATGCATCTGTGTAGATGCGCGTTGTTCACACTCTGTATTTTAGCCAAGCATGCGCTCTTTAAATACTGTAGCATCTGAATGTACGTGCAATCCGTCATTGACTTTAGACTAGGTTTTTTTGGTCAGTTGCGCAATTGTTCTGGAACTGCAAAATAGCACCGGGGAATGTTTACGCTGAAACACGCCTCCTTTTTTGTGCTGAACCACCCAGAGAGCGCAAGTTTATTTCCTAGTTTGCAGGCGTGCGTCTGTGGAGGGAAAAGCCCGCTTTGCACGGGTGCAAAATACGAATGATAAATGCGTCGGTGAACAAAGTCAACTGCGCCGGATGCAAGATAGGGCCCTAGATGTCAAAAGTTTGAATATATTAAAATTTTGTTTACGTTTTAATGTTAAAAACATAAAGGATGCATTAAACTGATCAAAAGTGACAGTAAAGACATTTAAAATGCTACAAAAGATTTCAAATTTCAAATTAATGCTTTTCTTGAGCAGCTTATCATAATGATTTCTGAAGTATCATGTGACGCTGAAGACTGGAGTAAAGATGCTGAAAATAAAAGACATTTTACAATATGTTCACATAGAAAACATTTATTATAAATTGTAAGGAGTCGTCTTTCATAAACATAAAAAAAAAATCGAAATTGTTCCAAATTTTCACGGCAATGTACATTATGCAGCATTATACTATTATATTACCTACAAAAGCAGCCTTAATCTTTTTAGCTACGTCATAATAACAGTGCAGCCTAGGTAGCATCAGATGATACAGAGGTGGAGAAATTATTCAACTTTGATGACCAATTTTTCCTTTTCAATAATAGTGTGCACCGATGAATAGCGGCAGGAAGTATCAGTTTGTATCAAAACAAACCTCTAATTAGTCGTAACTTTATATTTTGTGTGTAATATTAATTAAGGTGGGGGTTGATTGTGATTTCACTTTTTTCATTTTAAATAGTGTGTAATGTTGCTGTTGGTGCATGAACAGTATCTGCAAAGTTGCAGCGCTGAAAGTTCAGTGTAAGCAGAGATATCATCTTTTAAAAATCAGGAAGTATAATTGCCTACAAAAACGACTCGATTGGGACTACAGCTGGGTTTTAGACGTCACTAACCCATACATTTACATCAACCCCTCCCTCCGGAAAATGCAAAAAAGGGCATGCGCATATTTCTGCGGCTCGACGAGTGTGTTATGTTCAACCAGCTGTCAGGTCTTCTGTGTTCGAGCTTCCCACGGACGGTGTACTTCGTCAACAATGGATACAATTTATGTTTGATTATGTTCCTGAACATGACGGTCGTAATCTAGCTCTCTGTGCTGCGCATTTTACGGAAGACAGCTTCCGGAATCTCCTCGAATTAAATGCCGGATTCAACAAGAAACTGTTACTAAAACATGAAGCAGTTCCAACTTTAAAACAAGAGGCAGCAGTTGTTGGGCCACAACCTGTAAGTAGGCTAAGACTTAATCATTTTAAATGTATTTGCATGTATAATTCCAGACGTAGCCTTGTGTTTTATTTTTTTCAATTGCCAGCGCAGGCTTTATAGCCACTAGGCTACTAGTTATGCTATTTTGTGTCTACGACAAACGCGTACAAACATTATGGACCTGAATTTGGTATAAGTACTAATGTTTTAAACGTATTTTTCATGTATATATGCTTTATGACGTTATTTTCGATTTGATCAAGAACGTAAACTAATGCCACCGCTGTTTGAGTATAACATTAGTAGCCAGTCAGTTGCTATTGTTGCCAATCAGATGCTATTGTGTTAAACAAATGTGTATTAAGTTAAAAAAATGTAGCAAATTATCATTCAGAAACGTTTAGTAAGAGCCATGTGTGGTGAGGTTCTGCTTGCCTCTCTTCATCATCGCTTTGATTCTGCCTCAAACTGATACTTCCGTATCGACACCATTATTTACATGATTGGACCGGAGCTCAGGCACGTTTCGCCCGTAAAGGTGATGGCCGTTAACCTTCCGGAGAACGTAAGCGACAGTTTAGCCAATCACAACACACCGGCCCAAACTAACCAATCTGAGCCCACTGCCTGTTTCTGAGGGAGTGGTTTCATAGACTCAGGAAGTCAACCGCTCGTTCAGGGGACAGAGGAGAGCGTGGCTGACAATAAAGGTGAAGTTTATGAAATAAGACTTAAAAAAAAAAAAAAAAGAAATAAGAAAAAAATAAGACTTTTAAAAAAAGAAAAACCACGTATGTATACATATTATATTGCACCCCATAAACGGAATCATGCAAAGAAAAAAAGCAGTAAACCCCCCTTTAAAATATAAACTGTTATTTGGCAAGTGACCATGGTATAAGCGGGTTAATGTCCTTCGAGGTGTCCATTGTCTAGGCATTAATGGACATCGGACTCGTCGGGCGTTAACCCTTACGTGTAGAACAGCATTATAGAAGGATACTCACTCTTCAGCCATATGGGTGTCTTTCAGAATGTGAACATAGATGAAGAGAGCCTGCTCGTGTTTCCCCATGCGACCCAAGAGCAGAGCCCTCTCCTCCAGCAGACCTGACAGAGGAAACAACACTTTTAGCTCTTGACTTTACAGAGTAATGACTCTGACCTGTGAACTCAACTCACCATCAAACGGGAAATCACTGATGAGTCTCTCTGGCTCATAGCTGCTGGAAACTTCCAGAAATGTCAGAAGCTTGTTCCTGAATTCTCCCAGCTCTCCCGCCTCCTTCCCCGCAGCTACAGCTGAAACACCTGGACACAGGCAACACAACGTGGCAACCCTTTCATTGAGCTGCTGGGAAATGTTCATTTTAGCCACAAATGTTGTTTTTATGTTTGGTAACACTGCAATAAAGTCTAATTTGTTAAACTAATGCATTAGTGAAAATGAATTGACAATGAGAAACATGTTAATGTATATATAATTTCCCACCCCTTTAAAGATTAAATGAATGTATTGATGGCTTTATTACAAAACAAATACATTTTTTATTTTATAAATGTAGATATGTAGGTAGACATGTCCGCAGAGGCTATTTTCAAGACATGAACAGTGTTGTACATGTTCTACACAGAAAAAGCGCACATTTCATAATGTGTGTTAATTTATATGATAAATAGCCTATAATAAATCAGGAAACTATGTGAGGTCAAATAAGCCAAAGTTGATTTGTGCTTATAAGTGAATATGCAATAATATTTCTGATTAAATGTAAAAAATATTTTTTTGTACAAACAATTGTTGCAATTATAATTTTAAGCAAAATAATCGTGATTATCAATTTAAAAATGATGCAGCATGACGAAAATGTTTTCATTGCTTAAAATGCACTGAAATTCACAGATTTAGTTGACTAAAACTTGACTATAACAAAAACAGGACAACTAAATTGACGAAATATGAAAAAAAAAAAAGAACATTAAAAAATAGCTGATGTAAACTAACACTAGTCAGCAGCAGTTGACCATGACCTCTGTAGTTTCTTTCCGATGCTGCTGAATAAAAGACACTTTTAATTAAAAATCTTTCTGTAGTTGTGCTGATAAAGCAGTGTCTGACCTTCGGGCAGTGAGTTGAGGTACAACTTCATGAGGCCTTGCACCTTCTCCAGGAAGAGCTGGATCAGAACATTGTGGAACTCGGGCCGTGTCTCTTCCCACATGTATATGATGTGCTCCAGGTATGGAATGGCCAGCTCCTTGAAACCCTCCTTCAGGAAGTTCAACACCTTATCCCTGGGTAGAGTCTCCACCTCCGTCAGGTCCTCAGTGAAGATCTGACAGCAGCAAAATCAAACACAAGCTCTTCAAAAATGAGCACAGAAGATATTTCTCAACAAGCAGAGCATGCATATCTCACCTTCAGTCCGTCCTCAGGACAAATCTTCAGAACCCATGGTGAAAACTCAAATATGATGCCCAGGTTCTCCACACCTGTGCAGAAAGACACCAATGCATGTCACTGTAACAGATTAATATTGTTGGTCTAGTCCAGGTGTCCCCAACTAAATTGGCAAGAGGTCCACTAACCCGATGAGCCCAGTAAACGAGAGTCCGGACATGCAAAAACACCCGGCAAAATAAGTTTTCTTTCACTTTATTACATTTTATTAAATTTTAACAAATTGACATATTCTTTGACAATAAAATCTTTATCTTTAAATGTATTCAACTGATTTTGTTGAAATTATTTCAAGTATTATTTCATTTTAGTGCAAATATTCAAATGTCAAACCTTTCAACATCAATAACAGCAACAGGAAGCATACTTTTCATTGGCGGATAATTTTCATTGGAAGTTGTGTGTCTTGTCTCGAAATGCCGCTTGATGTTTCCACTTTTAACAACAGCAACAGACTCCGAACAAATAAGACACACGGGCCTCGTAGAGCTCGATGACGGCAAAAATGAACGCGTACACTTCAGTCCACTCATCTCGAAAGATGCGGTTTTCAGAGTCCACTTTTCTAATGTTTGACAATCAATCAATCAATTCACGAATATCATAGTAATGTGTGTACAAGCCAAAGTTTGTGATCTCTACAGACCCCGGCTCTTGCAAAGGACCTGACACAGACATGAAAAATTCATTTTATTTTTTTTCTAACATTTTTTAACAAAATGTTTAGAGGTCTGGATAAAAAGGTATTGGGGTCCGGACCTGGACCCCGGTCCGCCAGTTGGGGACCCCTAGTCTAGTCAGTCAGAATGGAAGAATGTGACTCATCAATCATCCCATTGTTACTAATGTGCAAAATCTGTGGGCTTGCATGTTTCTACACTGTACATTTGGGGAAAAGCCTGTGAAATGTTTATTTATTTATTTTTTACATTACGAAATGTGTTAAATAGAGCTAAGAGTAATATACTCTTAGTCATAGCTGAAATAATAGAATTAGAGAAAATATTGAATACAAATGCAAGGTTTTTTTTTTTTTTGCAATTTATAATGCAATTTAAATATTAAAGGTTTGCTAATCTTGTTTGTAGGACTGCACAATTTGGCCAACATTTTGTGATTATAAACCATTTTTGCTATATAACAATAATAACTAAATAATTAAATAATAATAACTAAAACATAAATAAGTATATAGATATATAAACACATGATCAAAAATTAAGTAGTTAGGGAAAATAATAATATCATAATTTTATGTTACATTACAGCTGTAAATTTACAATACTAATAATTATGGCTGTCTTTCAGTTTTTCCTATTTAAGCGTTAAATCATCAAACTTTTTATTTTGATGGAAAACCACCCTTGTTAATAAACACTTCTCATTACAAGTATGGGAATATTTTTGGTTGCATTTCCACATGTACATGAAAGCAGCTTGTGAGTTCATGCGGAGCAGCATTTAACGCCAACCAAGTCTGAGATGTGTACATGAACACAGTGCTGTGCTTCACTGTGAAAAACGCAAAGCATTTATTTATTAAATCCCACTAAGCAATATTACAATTTTGGCTTGGTTTTGATTAATTGTGCAGCCCTAGGTTGGAGTCTCTTAAAATCTAATGAATTTCTGCAGCTGTGAAATCCATGAGAGTTTGCTAGCATGTTTAAGATTCTGGCTCGACTTTCAGACAAAATTGGGCATCCAAATATCACATTAACCACAGCAGTCACTCAACTTTCCTGTTGACTGTATTAAAGCACAGCCAGGTAATGTGTGGTAAATTAGTGTGTTAATCTCACCCAGCCTCTGGAGATACTGTACAGTCCTCTCATGACCCTTCAAAGGAGAGTTGGCTTTAGTGGACTGATCCAGCAGAACCTGCAGAGCTGCACAATCACACTTCTGTAAGTCAACTCAAGTGAATGAGGAGGATGACACACAAGACTTTTCAGGTGACTTCTGAATTGCATGTCACAAGAGAGAAAAACTGGTGCTATAAAATCATATATGGACAATAAATAGAACATACAGCGCAATACGTAGTCCAACTCATGAACAAATCTCAGATGACTCTTATTTTGAAATGTGAAAAATAATACTGTTAATGTTAAATTATGATAAAAAAATAATGTTAAAAATGACTCTTATTTTGAAATGTTAAAAACATTTTAAAAGCTGATTTAAAATGTTTGTGAAATATCAATCAATTAATCACATGAATACACACAGATTGTAAAAAAACAACTGTATGAGAAGGACGTCGTCAAACAGAAAGAGAGGACAATCAGTGTATGTTCATTTCAAGTTTTCTTGGCTGCACTGAGGGTTTATTAAGTGCGATCTACACGGCCTGGTCCTCATCAGCATTTTTCAACAAAATGTGATTTGAGCCATCTCTATAAACAAGAGCTGATCTGAGCCCTCCAAATGCTGTTCAGATGCTTGGGTTTTGCAGAGAGATGAGCAACATGTCGGACACCCACACGCATTATACTCCTAATAGAGATTCCTCAGGCTCACATAAACACATGACAGTCTAGAATAGATGATGTAAGTTTTCAGTAAGCAGTTGATAAGACTGCGCGCACCTTTCTGGTGAAGGCCTTTCTTCTCATAAAGGATGATGAGCTCGCTGTATTTATGAGCTTTCTTCAGCACGTACTCGCTCTCCTCGATGTGACAGTGGTTGTTCTCCAGGCGCAGGAGAGGAGACACCAAGGCTACATTGGTCTGAAAAACAAAACAAAAACTATGTTGTACATTCACAAGGAATCCATTACAGTGTGTTGAGGTAATCTAGCTTTAACTGTAGTGAGCCGTCTAGCTAGGCAAGCACTTTAGGCATCATAGACAAGTATTCATACATTTATACATCACTCTTCTACTGACAGTATTATGAGTTATGAGATACTACTGAGAATAATAAAGAACAATGAGCATAGGACAGAACAAACACTGTTATTTTGTAATGAAAATGAGTTTATGGCACAATTATCTCAAGAACTATTCACACATTTAGGGATGCACAACATATAGGCTTGTTATATAAATGCATATCTATGTATATTAACATTATAACAAAAATGATCATATATCGGCCAATACCGATAATACCATATTATTGGTATTGGTCGATATATGATCATTTTTAATGTTATCGTTTTTGACCCCGATCATCTTTTTTGGCCGATATATAAAAAAAAAAAGATAAATAATGGATTGTTTCCTTCAGTTCAAGACACTTCAAATGCACTGTTCTTCATGATTGTTTTTAATCGCCTGAATTATGTTTGGTATCCCTTCAAAAAAAGGAAAATACAATTAAGTGCAACAAGCACAGCACAATTCTGTCATATTATAATGAGAACATTGTTATACTTGTGTGCTTGGGATTTGGCTTTTAATGGTGAGACTTTTGTTTTTGTAATCAGGCACTAAAAAATCATAAAACAAAAATTGGATTCAGATTTATCGGACGATATATCGGTATCGGTCAAAATGTTCATATCGGTGCAACCCTACACACCTTCAGGGCCGGCGCTCCGCACACGCACACCACGCACTGCGCGTAGGGCACCAAGTGCTTGGGGGGGGGGGCACCAAAAAATCTGGGTCGTGAAAAATCATCACAATAGGCTACTAGTATAAATAACAAATACAATATGTCTAAAGCATGTTAATATACAAAAGCAATACAAAAGTAATATAGGCCTAGACCAAACTAGTGGAGAAAAAGGTGAATCTCCTGTGCCAGTCTCCCTCTGGTGCCCCCCCTTCCCCACCTCGCAGTGGTCTGTTCCTCAATCAGTGTCAAATTTGGCAGACACCTGATCGACATCAGACATGGCCTCGAAAAGGCACCAAGAGTCGGGGGTGGAAAAAAGGAAAAAGAAGAGACAGTGGGATGATACTCGTTTGCAGGTAAGACAATGTTTTAAATAAAAGTGTTAGTTTTGTAGGCACCCTTGCTTCGTGTATGCATGTCCAGAGGGGCGTCGCTAGTTGTGCAAATGATCAAGGGCTTTGCCCTGCATTTAGAATTTTTTATTTTAACGGGGGTCCGGGGGTTTCTCCCCGGGAATTTTTTTTTTACTTGGGCTGTTTAAGATGCAGTTAGTTTGTTTGAAAAGAAAAGGAAGATCGCTTAGATATGTTTTTTCGTTGTTGTTCTATCGGATAATGCGGTAAAAGGCCCAAGGGCGACATCTATTGGTGAAACTGCTATTAGAAAAAAAAAAAACACAATCTCACTGTTTGTATATTTTCATATGGAGGTGTCAAATTATTAGGGCTGGGAAAAGCTTAATCACATCCAAAATAAAAGTTTCTACATGAGTACTGTGTATAATTATTTTGTATATATAATATACATATGCACAATTGCACATATATATTTAAGAAATATTTGCATGTATATACTGTATATATTTATAGATAATTTATATTATATATATATATATATATATTAAAATATTTTATATATAAATAACAAATATTTCTTAAATACATATACAAAATAACTATACACAGTACACACACACATAGGCCTATATCATTAATGTAGACACAAACTTTTATTTTGGATGCGATTAATCGCGATTCATCTTTTCCCAGCCCTACAAATTATGTACAGAATTATTATACTGTGCCTCATCAGACCTCTTTTAAAGGTAGAATAAAGTTTTGAATTTTAAATGTTCCAGTGAAACATAGGCCTATATCAGGGGTGCCCAATCCTGCTCCTGGCGATCGACTGTCCTGCACAGTTCATCTCCAACCCTAATCAAACACACCTGAATGTGATCCTAAAGACCTTAATTGGCTACTTCAGGTGTGTTTGATTAGGGTTTGAGATGAACTGTGCAGGACAGTCGATCGCCAGGAGCAGGATTGGGCACCCCTGGCCTATATTATATAAAAGACTAATGTGTGCAATATTTTTGTATGATGGTTATTGATTCAGTAGAATCCCTGAATATTTTGTCTTGTATTTCTGAATGCAGGGTCAATGCTAAAATACATGCAAGGAGCAACTCAAGGCCAGGAGGAAGAACCATCAACCAGCAGTTGTAGCCAGTTCCAAATATGTGTTTTTAGTAATTGTGGTGTTTTTTGGTATTTATAATTTTAACCTTTTTATTATTTATTTCTTTTCATATTTGGTGCCATTGTTAATGTAAATGTATTTATTTGCAGCAGTTATTTTGGAAGTAAAGAGAACCTAACTAAGAAATTCTTAATGGTTGTTATTCCTTGGGTGAGTGGGTGGTTGGGGTTGGGGGGAGGGGGTTGTTAAGGGGGCACCACCAAGCATTTGTGCTTAGGGCACCCAAATGGCTAGCGCCGGCCCTGCACACCTTACAGTCTTTTGTGAGCTTATCATAATATTTGATGCGAACTTTGGTTTAGTACATACTGATAAATATTGATAACTGATTCTGAAAAGTAACAAGTATTACATACACAATCTGTATACAATGTATACAAACTACAGGTCAAACGTTTGAGGTCTGTAAGATTTCTAAATGCTTTTGAAAAAGTCTCTTCTGCTCACCTAGGCTGCATTTATTTAATAAAAAATACAGTAAAAACAACAATATTGTGAAATATTAGCATAATTTAAAATGTTTTTTTTTTTCCATGTGAAATGTAATTTATTCCTGTGATCAAAGCTGAATTTGTCACAACCACATGATCCTTCAGAATTCACTAATCCTCACTGTTTCTCACTACACTACACCGGGGGTTTCATAGTGAACCGAAAATATTTGTATACTTCTCAAAATAACATGACAGTTCTCTAACCCTATGTTTTGCAGCACTGCTTTGGCGAAGCATCTGTCAATTGAACTAAAATAAAAAGCACGATTTTGCTTACTGTCCTCATCAAAATGCTGCAATTAAGTAAGTATGTTGCGCAACATGTTTCAAAAGTGGAGAGCACTTTGATCACGCAATCATCTTATGATCTGATGTTTTCTGCATCTCAGTTCACAGTGAATAAATCGGATGTCTGTGCATGTGCTGTGAATTTAAAGTACATTTGGGAAAGCAACGGGCACCAGTTACGCACATCAAACCAACAGTTTGTAGATGGATAATTACAGCATTTCTTATTTTTGTTGTTACAAGACATTTTTTTAAACCGTTTTCACAGAAACTTGCGTCAGAATATGTCATTATGCGACAGGATGAGCATCCCGTCGCATAATAAGCATCCTGTCACACACTAAAGATTGTCGTGAGGCTCAGGACTGTTTGCCGAGGCTGTGGATTACAGTTATTAATGTAGTAGATAGATAATGGTCAGCTTCTTGCATAGACCGATCGTTTCGCTTCGTTTCGCATCATGAGCACATATATTTTGCCTGTCTATATATATATATATATATATATATATATATTTAACCATTGACTTACATTATATAAATCACCAAGGGTCACGGTTTCAGCAAAAAATCCTCTTTACTGTTCTACTGAAGAAAAATACACCTACATCTTGGATAGCATGAGGGCTTAAATTAATTATAAGGAAATTGGTCTATCCTTTAAGATTAGCGAGATGCAATCACCATAGCTGTCAACATTGAACATTGAAAATAAGGGAGTTTTCCCGGAATCCATCCCCAAAATAAGGGATTTTTTTTTTTGCACGATTCTTACCCACAAACTTTAAAAATAAAGCACTAATCCTTAAAAGTCTAAAGAGTTCATAACTAACGTAAGCCATGTGTGAGAGAGAAAGAGACAGTGTCATTTAAAGAAAAAAAAAATCTACATTTGGATTAGCGGTGTGTTGCTCTTGCATTTGGACAACAATTTCTACTGTTAGCCTATCACACATCTTCTAAAATCCGCAAAATAGGGAAGTGGGCTGTCTGTTTACTTCAATTACATATACACATTTTGTGTAGCTTTAAAGAGCCTATTTAGCCTGATGGTGGACCATCACTCAGAAGACACACTATCCTATCTTTATATCCTCCTATAGGCCCAGAACGTTTTTTTTTTTTCTAGTTTTTTTTTCTTCTTCATGTAATCACATTGTTAAGAGCATAAGAAACAAATGGAAAAAAAATAAAATATATTTTATTCATATATTTGAACATCGATTTATAATAATTATTATTTGTTTAAATTACAATGATATCTGAATTTATGTAAAAACCTAGACTTTCAAACATCAAAATGTAATTTATTAATATCTATTCGAGTACAAAATGACATACAGCTAGTCTAAACATGTAGTTTCCTATTTTTTATTTATTTTTTTGCCTGGAAACGCAAAGAAATTCCAGGCAAAAAACACACTTGCCCGTCGCATGAAAAATAGGCGTCAGTTCTATTTCTAGCATGCACGCGTTTTCTGGAGCGTGTCACGCAGGCAGCGTGCAAGCTCTAATCTATTAACATGGGAGCCGAAATAAAAACGTACACGCCACGCAGCCAGTGCGCGCGGCACCGCATCCGAGGATAAACGACTTCAAGCCGAATCTGTCCGAGCTCGTACGTCTCACACAAAAATACGGGATATTTTACGGGAAAATACTAAAACGGGAAGACAGCGGGAAAAGAGCTAAAATACGTGAGAAACCCGGAAAAAACGGGAGGGTTGACAGCTATGGCAATCACCAGTTGGAATCAATGGGAAGCATTAATAAAGAGAACAATCTCAAGGTCTTACATGGAGGTAACATTTGAGCAGGGTGGTATCGATGATCTGAAGGAGTTTCTTGCGGCTCTTGATGGTGGGGGTTCCCTCCATGAGAGGCGAGGTGGTAGAGGGATCCGAGTCATTCAGCTGCTTCACCAAATGACTGCGTTTCTATCAAAAATACACAGAGAAGACTGTAAGAATATGAAAAACGTTTGTAAGGCACTCCATATAAGCTTCATAAATCACCTGTGTCAGGTAGTCTATGAGGGCTAGGTGGGCTTTCTCCAGCTCGGCTCCAGACAGTGTGGGCAGAGGGTTTGGGTAGTGAAGCTGTTTGCGGTAGTCGGAGGGAAGGAGGTCTGGATACAATCCAATCACATGGGTGGGATCTATACAAGAGAAGAGCAAATCCCATTATATAGAGTGCTGCAGCGATGACGTGTTTTTGTGGGGCCTAAACAAGTTTCATTTTGCACATCTGTTTCCATCGTCCCGAAGTCAATGGGTTTTTGGTTCAACTTCAATTCCTGAAATAAGGTCTGTGGTGAACACAAGCTCAACATATGTTCATGTTTTATTCTATGACATAAGTAATAATAACCCCTTGCGAGTTTTAAAAAGCTTTTACGTGTCTTTAAAAGGGCGTTTGCTAATAAATGTTTAAATGGGATGAGAGAGGTAGGGGACTTTAAACATCATTACACCGAACAGGTAAACTCATCTACTCACAGCCTCGCGGTTTATAACCACGCTCTGGCAAACTATTCCAACTCTAAATTTCAGGGGAAATGTTTTTTTTTTTTTTTTTAAATAAAGACTGAAAGAGTTGTTGAAGTTTAATGGTGGTGACGTTGAAGTCATGTGACCGTGATGTAGTTCATTTATAGCCTACGTCTATCTTTTTATTTCTGCCGATTGTATTTGGGCTGTCCTGGTGCAATGGCACTCTCTAGTGGACTGTGCAATGCAACTCAGCCTTAGTCAGCAAGACCACAGATAATATGAGGTTTATCAGACATGAAAATGAACTTTCCAAAACTTCAATCTGACCAGTTGGCATTTAAAACCAAATTTTTTTTTTGATCAGCCTACCAGAAAGTTTCTCTTGAATGATTACAATCAATACCAATTACAACTTAAATCAACTGATTTGTCATTTGTGGTGCATCATCACTGCTGTGTGAGCTCAACTCACCGGTGCCTAACTTAGCGAAGCCCTGCATGGAGTCGTCAAAGCGCTTCTGACAGAACAGGTTGAAGGCGTACAGGTTCTGAATGTGATGGATCTGTTGTCTCTTGTCTGCATCTAAATCATCCTTCATTTTCTGAGGAAAGATGAGACAAAAACAAGGTCAACACACTGTGTACTTTGCATACAGTATTTACTGGATGCTAAAATCAGAGTTTCTCACCGCTAGCTGAAGCGCCAGTTCAAACTGTTTGTCCTGTAGAAGCTGCCGTATTTGGCTGGCTATAGAGACCGGCACCAGACGCCAGACAAAATGATTGCTTGCGACATAGACAACATTTGATCTGTGAAATCAAAGAGGGAAAGAAAGTTGAGAGAAAAAAAAAAAAAAAAAAGTTTCAAGATTTTACATGCTTAATGTTTTCCCCTGCTGATGGGGTTATTTCTATGCAAGCTTGTTTCCGCCACAGAATATAACATTTTAAAAGATCTCGATCTGCTTTGCAAAGGAAAACTCGACTCGCAAACAAACAGAAAGCAATTTGCAAAAACAAAGGTCAATTTTAGCAAAAATGCAGTGGAGGAACCAATATTGTGTTTTACAAAATATAAATAAATTCCAAAGCTTGTAGAAGGTTACTATTGGTAAGACTGACTTAACACAGGTGAAATTGAGCCAATACCTCCCTTCATGCATTTATAGTAGGCTACACGGTCCCACTTTATATTAAGTGGCTTTAAGTACTATGTACTTACATTGAAATTAATAATTTGATACAATGGACTTATTGTATGCATACATGTTTTTACATTATACTTATGTTTTTAAAATACTAGCATGTAATTACAGCTATAATTAATTTAAGTAATTACATTTCATTAATTACATTTCGTTTAGATCGTACTTATCGGACCGTTATCATTTTGTCTGTTTAAATGGTAAAAAAAAAATCAAAGATAACGTCAGTAGACTATGGAGTACCGCAAGGATCGGTTTTAGGCCCTCTGCTATTCTCAATATATATGCTGCCACTTGGTAATATTATAAGAAAACATGGAATTAATTTCCACTGTTACGCTGACGACACTCAATTATATATTTCATCACGACCAGATGAAAACACTAACTCATCTAAAATGACAGAGTGTCTCAAAGATATAAAATGCTGGATGACGCGTAATTTCCTGCTATTAAATTCAGATAAAACGGAGGTATTACTTTTTGGTCCAAAAAACTACTCACAAAACCTCTTACAGTACAACTTTAATATAGACGGATGTCCTGTTACTTTATCCACTACAGTAAAAGACCTGGGTGTTATACTAGACCGCAACTTGTCTTTCGAAGATCATATTTCATATGTTACAAGAACAGCCTTTTTCCACCTTAGAAACATTGCTAAGCTACGTAACATGCTATCTATCTCTGATGCAGAAAAATTAGTTCACGCATTCATGACCTCGAGACTAGATTACTGTAATGCTTTATTAGCCGGTTGTCCTGCATCCTCAATAAACAAGCTACAGTTAGTACAAAATGCAGCTGCTAGAGTTCTTACTAGGTCAAGAAAATATGATCATATAACACCGATTTTATCATCTCTACACTGGTTACCTATTAAGTTCCGTATCAATTACTAAATACTGCTACTAACCTATAAAGCCCTAAATGGTTTAGCACCTATGTACTTAACGGACCTTCTTTCGCCCTACAATCCACCGCGTTCCTTAAGATTACTAAATTCAAGGCTTCTGGTCATTCCTAGGATATCTAAGTCCACTAAAGGAGGGAGGGCGTTCTCGCATTTAGCTCCAAAACTCTGGAATGGCCTTCCCGATATGGTCCGAGCCTCTGACTCGCTGACACAGTTTAAAACTAGATTAAAGACGCATCTCTTTAGTCAAGCATTCACATAATGCTTACCTTTTAGTCGTCTGTTATGCCATACAGAACCGTTTGCCACTAAAACTGCTTAACGCACCAGTGGGGCTCGACAGCCTTCTAGACAAACGGGTCGGCGTGTATGGTTGGGTTGCGGAGAGTTCAGGTTACGGAGATTTTGTGAGATAGTGGTTTTCTAACACCGACTCCCATATAACGGAAATCATTATGAACATCAGCTATGCTAATTATTTCCCATCTGCCTTTCTGCTGTTATCTCGGGACGCTTGTCCCGAGAAAAATGGCGTTCGTCAGGTCCAGTTTTGTCTACAGCCTCTCACAGGGATTTCGGATGCCCCAACGCCTGTGATGAGAAGACCAACGCCTGTGAAGAGACGACTCAACGCCTGCGATATGTTATGCCGCCGTTTTATACATAAACAATATTTATATTTAATATTTATATATAAACAATATGAATGTAAGCCAGAGAACTGGCCCCCGACTGAGCCTGGGTTTTTTCTCCATCCAATCTGATGGAGTTTTGGTTCCTTGCCACTGTTGCCTTGCTTTTGGCTTGCTCAGTTGGGGTCATTTAATGTTTAGCAATATTAATGATCTGTGTTGTACTACTTTCATGTTATCACTGTGAAGCTGCTTTGATACAATCTGTATTGTGAAAAGCGCTATATAAATAAATGTGACTTGACTTATTGTTCGATGTATAAAGTGGGACCGGCAAAACAATTTTTTTTTTTTTATAAAGGGTTTTTGGTGACTTACTACAGGTGAGATTTTGCATTATTCACCTGTAGTAAGTCAAGGCTGGTTAGGAACGAACTACAAGCATGGCTGTAGCCAGCTATGAGGGTCTGGACCTCTGTCTTTTTCAGAGGTGTGTATAATAAAGGTTGTGAAATTATTGCCTAATATAGTATTAGCTCGACTTTAGTGCTGCAAGGATATTCCACAGCATCAAGATATTTTATTAATGGTCGTAAAGTGCGAGATAAGATTCAAGTCCCATAGCAAAACATTTCATAATTGACAGCTGTTTTAAGACAGAAATGTTAAATAATCAGGCAAACTAATAAACTTTTGAATTGAAAATAGGCCAATACAATTTACGTATCATTCATGTGTGAAGTTCACTCTCTCTGGGAATCTAAGCTGAAAGCTCTGCCATCATATGTTACTTTTTACATTCTTTTCTACATTGGATGTGTGCGATATGACTAAATTAGTGATTATGTCTACATTAAACGAGTCTATATCTGTCGTTCTCATATGTTGTCTCATATCTGTGTAAAATCACAGATCTAATTACCTTTTTTTCATGTGGCATTTTGTCCTCAACAACGTTAAAGGCCCAGTGGCCTTGTAATAAACATTTTGCAAAAGAAAACCGCAAGATGTTTATTATAAATAAAGTAAGACATAAACTTTTTCCTCAGCTGTACGCAAAGGCAAGCGCGTGCTTCTCCCGGGAGACTAGCGCTAAATTAATCCTTAATCTTGGCGCCATCGACTGTTTTAGAAGAGAAGTTACTCATCTGCATTTGTGAAAAATTGTGCCCGGAAAAACATTTGTGAGAAAATCGAGCCGAGAGATCTCACCATTGTAACAGACAGGTATGAATTTGTATGCACTAGATTTGGCATTTGTTCCATGCAATTTGTTACATGCAATTTGTAGGATGGTTTGAATTTATTTGTGAAATATTATCAAGGATAAATTATTTATATGTAAAACACAATATTGGTTACTCCACTGCATTTTCGCTCAAATTGACCTTTGTTTTTGCAAATTGCTTTCTGTTTGTTTGCGAGTCGAGTTTTCTTTTACAAAGCAGATCGAGTTTGTTTGCAAAATACTGGATTTGTTTGTTTTTATCATGGCACATAATTCGCTCCATAATTCTGACTTTATAACATGCAATTGCAACTTTATATCTCCCATATATAAACATGCAATTCTGAGAAAAAAAGAATTGAGTTTATTTCTCACAATTGCAAATTATCTCACAATTCTGACTTTATAACACACAACTGTGACTTTATATCATGCAATTCTGAGATAAAACGTCACTGATGTAAACTCACAATTGTGATAAAAATTTTGAATTGTGAGATATAAACTTGCAATTAAAGTAAGTCGCAATTAACTTTTTTATTTTGTATTCTGTGGCGAAAACAAGCTACTATATATTTCAGGTTTACAGCACCCTTTCGATCCGGTTAAAATTCTGATCACATTGATTGAGGTGTTTACATGAAGGATTTTCAGTCTGACTAAACTATTAATTTGATTCTTTGATTATTAGGGTGCATGTAAACAACATAGCTCTTCAAGCAGACTGAAGGTGCCCATGTTTTCCTGTAAACTGAGATTGTGTGCAGGTCTCACCCAGCGGAGGTGATGAAGCGCGGTCTCTGCAGTTCTACGCTCTGCACCAGCAGTCTGGGTTCGAGCGTGCGGATCTCCACATACCGTGGCAACACTGCAATGATGTAGGGTGGCTGGTGCTCTGGTGAAAGACAAGAGAATATAGCCATAAGCAGACTCAAAAATGAAAGAGGAATGGATTTCAAACATGTTCAAAAGAGCTGACTGTAATACATCATCATCACTGATAGCTTAAAAAAGAATCAAAATGAGTGCAAATATGTAAAAAGCCAAGAAGTTTGTGGATGTTGGGTGTGGATTCTGCATGAAACTGCTCATAAGCCAATATTAACAATTAAACTCTTGCATAATTGTTTTTTTCTAGGAATCAGTTCAAATTCATTTTAATTATTTGTTTGCATCATCACTCAAAAAAGATTGTGATTCTGATTCTCTTTAGTCAGCTGCAGCATTCAGGCGTCACATATATCTGAATAAGGACTTCAAGTTATTGATGCTACAAGTACCATCAATAAAACAAATAATTATCTTTCTGGAAAACAATACAATTAGTTGAGTCCTACAATAATAGAAAGCCAAAATTCAATAATCAAGATTGAGTAATTGTATACCACAATAACAATGTATATCATGATGACATTATTATTTTTGCTAGAAACCAACGTTTTATGTTTAGTTAGTTCAATTTCAAAATTCTTGAATCCAATATCGATACCACATAAAAAAAGGTAAAAAGTTATCATGCAACTTTTGAGGACAATAAACAATAAAATAAATGCCTTTCATTTGCATAAACGAAAGTAGTTTACAAACGAAGCATTTGCACGTCGTACCCTATATGCATTCATAACAATCCAATGCAAATGCGTACGTGAGCACGTTTACACGCACAAAGTACGCTGATAACTCACAAAAATCAGCTTATTGAAAAAACCTGTTGTCCGGGTTTGTGAACCAATAATCTGACGACGCAAGTAAACCGCGCTTACAAGACTTTATTAATAAATCAGGTTACTTCCTGATAGTGACGTCAAAGCGCAATGATTTGCGTGTCTGCGTATTTCAGTTATGTTGGTTGTGATGTTAAATAAAGCATTAAAAAACCAAAGAGTATTGCAAAACGTCAGCTTTCTACGGCTCATATATTCTCCTCTAATTCAATGCAGCATTTTGACTGAATCACTTCTGCACGAGGGTATAATCAAGAAGAAAGTTGTATAGATATATTTCCTCCTCTCGTTCTACACACTTCAGTAAGCCGACAGAAAGCAGGTTAATGCATTTACATTCCGGGCGAAATCGGCATAAGCGGTTTCGCCCGGAATGTACACAAAACACACACACGCGCACACAAACCATTTGATCAATGAAAGAAATTACATTGTAAGCATGTTTTGCTTCCAGTTTGTTTTATTACGCTATGTACAGTAGGCTAGTAAAGATTCGATTGTTCACGCCATTGGAAGTAATATTAGACTAGTAAGATTTTCAACCACTTTTTTTTGCTCAGGTTATCTGATCGGATGGAAACTGGACACTAGTTTTTTATGAGAATCAGTTGTTGACTGAACACGTTGATGATGTAGTAACATGTTTGATAAGTGGCTTATGAGAATTTGAGAAACACGTTTGTTAAGACTGATAAGATCATACCCATTGCAACAGGAATGTCCGTCCAGTTAAGGGCACATTTCTGAGTGCAGACACCTTCTTCGTTCAAAACAACTGTGAGGTCATCCTGGCCCACTGCCACCTTCCCATCAGCCAATGGGGCCACCAACGGTTCCAGCTGTTTCCCAGTGGGGAACAGTTCCTTGACTGAGCCACGCCCATCCATCTGAAGAGAAAACAGAAAAGTCATATGATTGACCCAAAAAAACAACAACAACAACAAAAAAAGTTAAAGGGTTAGTTCACCCAAAAATGAAAATTATGTCATTAATGACTCACCCTCATGTTGTTCCAAGTCCGTAAGACCTCCGTTCATCTTCGGAACATAGTTTAAGATATTTTAGATTTAGTCCGAGAGCTTTCTGTCCCTCCATTGAAAATGTATGTACCTTATACTGTCTTATTCCATAAAGGCAATACAGACATCATCAAAGTAGTCCATGTGACATGAGTGGGTTAGTTTGAATTTTTTGAAGCATCGAAAATACTTTTTGGTCCAAAACATAGCAAAAACAACGACTTTATTCAGCATTGTATTCTCTTCCGGTTCTGTTGTCGTTGCTCGTTCACGATTCCAATGACGCTGCTGACGTGTTATCTTGTGTGCCCGATTAGGACTAGGGCTGCACGTTTTCAAGTTTTTCATTAACCGTTAACCGAGGCCCTTATTGGTTAATACTCGGTTAACCATGTGCGCGCCGCAACCTCGAGATACAGAGTTAATTTTTAACACCTTTAATAACTGGTTGGACCCCATTTGAAACGAAATTGATTTATAGAAATAAAACGCAGTGGTAAGTTCAGAGCAGTTAAAGTAGGCGCGTTTCCATCACCCTTCAAACTGAAATTGCCCATTGAAAATACGCACATTGGCAACACGTTCATTTCGCAAAAACTCCGTATCCGCAAATAATAATAATAATCATCATTATTGTAACATTTTATTAGGCTGCATATTATGTAGAAGACGCTTTTATCCAAAAAAGGAACAAAGCACAAATAAACACACAATATTTTGACGCATATCCAGTGTGTGTGCTTTGTGGAGGCTGCGAGACGCCCATGTGAACACTTGCAGTTTCATTGCAGTTCTTTCAGTGGAAACAACTTAAAATACTCTTTCATTTCTGGTCATACAGAAAATAATAATACATTATTTGCAAATACATTTATTTGCGTAAACTCACAATAACAAGAAAACGCTGTGCTTTAACAAACAGGCGCGCTTCATGATTTCCGTGAAGTGAAGCGCGAGAACTGAAACAGCCGCATTCGAATTTGTTCGTTTTAAATTGGACATTTAAAGCTTTTGTAGACTAAAGCTTTAAATGTCCAATTTAAAACGAACAAATTCGAATCGAAAGCCAATATCTTCTGACTATGTAATTATGTAGTCAGCTAATTATGTATTTCTCTCTAAAGGTGCATCCGGGGATGGAGATTTGTTTTTAGCAGAAACTGATTTAGAAAACAATAGTTTATTAATAAACAATTAATGCCTCGTTATCTTATATTATTTTATTATCAGACACATTTATTATATCTTATAAATCATCTATAAATCCCCTTTCTGTATGGCTGTGGTTACGGCTCTTCTCATTCAGCACTGCGGGGAAAAACATTTCCAGGTTCTAATCTGGCCTCAGAAAACCAGTAAAATCTTTTTTTTTTTTTCCATATTCATTTGTCAAATATTTTAAATGTTTAAAGGGGCAAAAAAACAAACAAATATCTGAAAATTCGTCGATATATAGCCTATATATTTTTGCGCAGCATTTGACGTAGTCCTACAGTTCAAATGAATATTTTGGTGTTCAACTCTGCGTTTTACAAAATACAACAACCGTTCATTTTTCGTTTTGCAATTAGGCCTACGGATTAAATAAGGGGAAACGAATAACCACAAAAGTAGGCTACACTGACCGTTTGGACATATACGAGGCAGAGTTCTTTTTTAAAATTCATAAAGGATACAAGGAATAGCCTACTAGACAAAACCTCAAAGAAATGCCACAATCAAGACCGCGGAGCAGAAATGAGGGAGAAACACACAGAAACTCTGTGACTGTCCCTGCCATTAATGCTTGGATGACACACCACGTCTCCTTTTATAAATAATAATAATGTCTAGTGCGGTGGCTGTGATATACCAACGTCCGTTGCCATTATTTTTGGAATGGCTTATCGCGAAAGGAAAAAAAAAACATGTTTTAGTCGCATAACACCGTTAATAGAAACGCTGTCATTTCACAATATTTTTTTATCGACAATCAGAAAAAAAAAACGCAAAAGTTTTGTGCAAATATGTATTGACGCCACTTAACCGAGCAAAAAGGTTTCACTCGGTTATCCAATTTTAAACGGTTAATCGGTTAACCGGTTAACCATGGACACCCGAGGACGATTAGGACATCCGCGACATGCACACATACGAACCATTTGTTAAAAAAATATTGCAATACCAAAATACAAACAATGTAGAAAAGCTTGAATACAGCTCCATCAGACTGTAAACGAAGCTCGGGCGCACAAGATAACACGTCAGCAGCGTCATTGGAATCGTGAACGAGCAATGACAACAGAACCGGAAGAGAATACAGAGCTGAATAAAGTCGTTGTTTTTGCTATGTTTGGACCAAAAAGTATTTTCAATGCTTCAAAAAATTCGAACTAACCCACTCATGTCAAATGGACTACTTTGATGATGTCTGTATTGCCTTTATGGGCAAGGACAGTATAAGGTACATACATTTTCAATGGAGGAACAAAAAGCTCTCGGACTAAATCTAAAATATCTTAAACTGTGTTCCGAAGATGAACGGAGGTCTTACGGGCTTGGAACAACATGAGGGTAAGTCATTAATGACATAATTTTTGGGTGAACTAACCCTTTAATACCTGTATTATATATATATATATATATATATATATATATGAAGAGTTCAGATGCAAAAGCCTCTAAGTGCCATTTGAAATTTTCTTCTAGAATGATAATTTTTATCAAGCTTGTATATTTAAGTTCAGTAATTTCACTTAAATGGCAATTCATAGGTAATCTTCATTGTCATTTAAGTGAAATGACTGAACTTAAATATATAAGCTTGATAAAAATGATCATTTTAGAAGAAAATTTCAAATGGCACTTAGAGGCTTTTGCATCTGAACTCTTCATATATATATATATATATATAAAGAGCTTAATATATCACATATGATATACACAAGTTATATTAAGCAGCAGGTTATAGGAGAGCAATCTAGTCTATATTCACTATACATCAGCTATAACAGATGACTGTCAAAATTGCAGAAGACACTAAATATAAGCAGAGCTGCATTTTTTTTTTCTCCTTACCCGAATCAGATAGTAGTCTCGTTTGAAACCCACGCATATTGAGTTCTCACACCAAGCCATGGATTTGGGAATGTCTGGAGCGGAAAAATCTCCCTGCACGAGTAACCAAACAAGATTTAGCCTACTGTATATCAAACATATCAAAAATATGTTGTTTGTGTGTTTCCAAGCCTCAGGCAACCTGTAGTTCAAGGAATTCTCTGTCCTTCCAGTAATACAGCTGAATCTTCCTCTTCACTGCAACACACATGCGCAGTTTGGCCTCACCTGAGCTGGACTTCTGGAGGGAGAGAGAGATCAAATGCGATTCAAAAAGGGGGACCTGGAAGTCAGATTATTAGTCAGGATGATTGTAAAAATTTAAAGTCGGCATGAAATCAAATTTGACAAATCTTCTTTTTAAATGTAATTTTGTAGTGTTTATTATAAATGATTTATCTGTGTACTTCATTACTTTTTCTTAAATTCGCGTACCCTTATAATCTTTAATCAAATACATTAGCCTTCCCTCCCCCATCGAAACGACCTCTCTTCTCTTTCGGTCACGTGCAATGGCGAAAGGGTGCGGCCAGACCCGATGAAGGTGCGGCTATCGGTGAACCGCCTCTCAAAGAATCGCATTCAAATCTGCCACCATTTTGTTTGCAACGGCCAACCTCCAACGATCCAATCAATTCCCGAAGGACGAAATCAAGCCCTGCCCTACATTTTTTTTCTAAGTTCAGAAGCCGTTTCACACGGATACGTCACAAAAAGGAAAAAATGACATTCTTAACTTCCGTTTCACACCGACTTTAAACAACTTTACAGTTCAGATTTGGGATACATCTATAGGATTCTTTTAGGCTGATACCGATACCTATTTTAACAACCGATAAATAACATCAGTTGTTATTTATTTTGTCACTTACTCACTTAATTGAACTTTTGTCATTAAAATAGATTACTGTTTTGATCCGGTTTGAATACGGTTATACGGCTGCATCATCAAATCCTTTTTATTGTGGATTATTTTACATTTTATGGATTGGATCCATAACCATAACCTTCAACAGTCCAACATTATATGAGAGGCACAAACTAAGAAAAATATAAATACAAATAAGACAACATGGCAAACTACAGTTTTTTGTTTTGTTTTTTTTAGCTATAAAATATTTCTTATTAAAAACATTCATTATTTTACCCAGAAAAGAAACCTATAATATGCATAACACACACATATATATATATATAGTATATAGTATATGTTTGATTATGCAACATACATTATACAACTATCATTAGGTTATATCAGCCTTTTTTATGCAATCACATTATGCCGTATCACGATTCCTGTTTTTCTATCCCCAAATTAAAGACCTCTTGAGATCATAATTAAGGCTTTTTTTATACCAGCTAAGATATTTAAAACTTTTTAAGGACCCATGGAGACCCTGAGTATTTGGACCCCTTAGGCACACTTAAAAGTGTATGAATATCATTTCATAACAAAATAACAAAGTCATCCTATTTTTCACAGAATAAATGTTTTCTTTTGCTATGACTTTTAAACAACTGTGGCTGTGATTTTTAAAAGATACATGAAGTCAGTTCTCCTCTAGTTCAGTCCTCGCAGTGTCACCACTCACATCATTTATTACACATAATTAAATATAAATATGTACGCATGAAAACATCAACAGGCCAGAGGACTTCTGTAACGTACCTGCAGGTCACAGGCAAACAGTGTGGCTCCTCGGGCTTTGGACAGCACAGTTATCTGCTGGAACGTCAGCAAGTCATGAACGTGGATGTTATTTTCTGAAATAAAAGAGGGCAATGGCACCGCTGACACCAAATACACTTCACCACATAATCTGCAAGTTGAACTCAAGTATGCAACCAACAAAGAAAGTACATATGACTACACATCATATGACAAAGACTTCACAATTCTGTGGGGGAAAGAAATACTCACCCAAAAGACTAACCAAAATCTTGTACTGCGAAACCACAAACAGCTGAAAGAGGATTATAGAAAGAGGAATTGACAGATTATAAGAGATGCCCAGAAGTAAACTAATTTCTTTAGACATAGCTAGTTCACCACAGCCATTCTTTTCTCACCCTCATGCAGCAATTTTTTCTATTTTTTAAAAAAAGAGAGAATTTTTGAAAGAATCTTCATGCAATTTATAAAAAAATTACAGTTTAAAGTGACAACAGATGTAAAACTCCACAAAGGACTAAAGAACACCATAAAAATGGCCCATGATGCGACTTCTGTTGTTAAATAAAACTAATGTAGGCTTTCCTGAAACCCTAAACCCCAGGGCCCGTATTCATAAAGAAGAATCCTCTCAGAAAACTCTTCATTTAGCCTACAGTATGTATGACACAATCTTTTGAAGAGTGTGATTGGTTGGTTTTCCAAGAAGGAAAAAAAAGAGTGATTTTAAGTATAGCTATTCTAAGCCTTCACTTTGAAATTACATGCGTAATTTTTCCTATTTGACCGTTCACTTTACACACACATTATATATGTGTATATAAATCTTTTATTTTATTTACCATGCTGTTAATTTCCAATTAGGTATTTGATTGGCTTAGAATGATACAAATTGTTCCACTCTTTCCAATTACACTGATTGCTGGCATGTCTATTTAAGTGGTGGTTTGAATGTTGGTTTTAATTAATCAAAACCAAGGACAAGAAAGCCCGATTGGACAGAGGAACAGTGTTTACTGTAAGCCCAGTTAGTGGATGAACACAAGGCCATCCTTAAAGAAAAAAATGGGCCAGGTTTCAATCTATTGTCTTATTAACTTATTAAGTCATCCAATGTCTGCAACACATTTCTTCTCCCTCTTCGTCTTTCTGCCATTTTTTCTCTGCTAAAGAAAGTCTTAAGCCTCTTAAAAGTCCCCCTCCATACTCCTAACAATTTTGACCTTAAAACCTCTTTTAAGGGTTGAGATACTTTCTGAATTACTTTTTTTCTTTACTAGGATATTTTCTTTAATTTTAAGAGTAAATGCCCACATTTCTACGAATTGTGTCGCTCTCTGCATTAAGATTCTTTATGAATACAGGCCCTGGATTACACTGATGTTAAAATAGCACTTCTAATGCTACAGTAAAACACTTCTGTTTACTTTTAGAAGCTGTAGGGATGTTTTCTTGTCAAAAAAAGATTGTGAAACGCATATGTAGATTATATAATTTTAAATATATTTTAAAGATAATTTTTACGTTTATTTTACAAACTTTAAGCATTATGGTCTCGCATATCGCATTATTTAACATGATGAGACTTGTGGACCGTGTTCTACATCTTCTGAAGTCCTACGATAGCTTAGTGTGAGAAGCAGACCACAAATTAAGCACTATTCACCGATAACATAATGGGACAACATAACGGTGCGTGAATTATGACGACATTTAGGTGAATTAATCCTTTAATGGATGGACTTCTCTATAGGTTCATACCTGCTGAATCTTCTTTGAGAAGTTCTTATTGGATTTCTCTAATGTAACTTCAAACCGGTTTGTACCTGTAATGAAATATATTATCAATTCAATTAAAAGTAAATCCAACAAATAATCAATATAGAATATTTGCACAGCTGCAAACAAAAACTATGCACCTGCATCTTTCTTGATCCTGTACTGAAGGAGATGACCCGGTTTGGTCCCGACAAGGAGCCAATCATCTGCAATCACAGTATCATTATCACACTAAATGACATGGCAAAGAAAGGCCATTGCACACGGAGTCCAAAATTCGCGCCTGAAATTTTCGCACGTTAAAAAATAAATACGACCTCACGTTATGTCAATCACGCTTGCACACTGCCTCCGAAACTTTCGTCCGTCATAAAAAAAATCGAAACGGGTTCGATTTCCTGCGTTGTTCGCATCCGTAGCAAGCAGTTTGAATGGTATTTGAATGGTATTTTGAAAATTCTGAGCCACCGAATCACGCATACGAAAATTTCGGACTCAGTGTGCAATGGCCTTAAAAATGGTAAAGTTTCTTGGACATCAGAGGTGTGTTGACCAGCTCATAAGGTTCTGTGACAAAAATGGGCAAAGATTAATCACATCCACAATAAAAGTGTACTGTGTATAATTATTTTGTATATATAAATACACACACACATGGTGAAAATGTGTTATTTATATATAAAATATTAATATTTATATAATATACATTGTTTAAATAAATATACAGTATATAAATTGACATATTTCTTAAATATCTACATGCATCTGTGTGTATTTAAAATGATTATATATAGTACACACACACATAAACGTTTATGTTGAATGCGATTGCACAGCCCTACAACTATTCCACTACTTGATCAACAAATATTCAGCTATTTGTTGTCCAAATATTCAACTATTTGAATCCATAATGCTCAAAAATCTGTCTGGGAGGAAAAACTAACTAGATGTCCGTACGCGTTGTCTATGTCGACAGCTAAAAGGATGTTGAGACACAGCCAGAGGAACCAGTTTTCTGGCGATTTGAACAAATATACAACAATTTGAAGACTTAAAAACATTATTTTTTGTTTTTGTTCATTTTCATAATAATTTCAGTATTATATTACCTGTCAAAAGTTTTATATCGGTAAGATGTTTTATGTTTTTAAAAGAAGTCTCTTCTACTCACCAAGGCTGCAATTATTTGATCAAAAAAACAGTAATATTGTGAAATATTATTACAAATTAAAACAGCGGTTTTCTATGTGAATATATAGTGAAGTATAATTTATTCCTGTGATCAAAGCTGAATTTACAACATCATTACTCCAGTCTTCAGTATCACATGATCCTACAAAAATTATTATAATATGATGCTCAAGAAACATTTATGATTATTAGTTGAAAAGTTTTTTAATTTTTTATTTCAGGATTCTTTGATGAATAGAAAGTTCAAAAGAACAGAATTGATGTGAAATGGAAAGCTTTTGTAACATTAATCACTACCATTCAAAAGTTTGTGGTCAGTAAGAATTTATTTTTATTTTGGGGGGAAAGAAATTAGAAAATACTTTTATTCATCAAGGATGAGTTAAATTGATCAAAAGTTACAGTAAAGACATTTATGATGTTAGAAAAGATTATATTTTAAATAAATGCTGTTCTTTTGAACTTTCTATTCATCATAGAATTTTGGGGGAAAAAATGGTACACGACTGTTTTCAACATTGAAAATAATAATTTATGTTTTTTGAGCATAAAATCAGCATATTAGAATGATTTCTGAAGGATCATGTGACACTGAAAACTGATGTGTAATCAGCAACAGTAATGATGATGAAAATTCAGCTTTCAAATTACATTTTAAAATATATTAAAAAAGAAAACAGTCATTTTAAATTGTCATAATTTCACAATATTACTCTTTGTCTTTTTTTCCCCATCAAATAAAGCAGCCTTGGTGAGCAGAAGAGACTTCATTTAAAAACATAAAAAAATCTTACTGATCTAAAACTTTTGACCTGTAGTGTCTAATAATAAAGTATTTTGTGAAGTCAGACTATGCTTGTACGTGTGCTGAGCAGAGTTTGTAGAGTTATACTAAGTTCACTTTAATAGCAGAGATGTTCCAATGATGATTATACTTCACATGTGTACGGCTGGTTTGCTCTTTGCAAGAGAAGGAATGTTTCAACTGATACAAATGTACCACAAATGTATACACTGAGAAATAGTTTCTTAATGTGGGTAGTGGATTGGACATGTGCATTAGGTGTTCCCTCTTTAAACATAAGCAACTTATTTTTCTACCAAACAAGGAAGTTGTAAGTCTCTCTGTGATGTATATAAGCTCAATCTTACTGTATCACCTCAGAGAAACATAAAGGCATGACGGAGTCAGAGGAAGGAGAAACAGAGGCATTAGGGGTGAGAAAGGAAGGAAACATCAAGAAAGCATTTACAGCTAGCATGATGGGGGGTTCAGATAGAGACTGGAACAGAGAAATCTGGAATGAAGACTTCCTCTCGTATATTCTTCTATGCCTGTGTTTTTCTCTGTCTGACACATACATGACACATAAATAATAACGTTACATCTTTTGGTAAAAGTAACTGGTGTAGCTTCCGTGATTTAACAATAATCGGTGAAGCAGGATTTTGAAATGTACATATTCATTCAGTAAGGGTTAAAGACGTCTGTTAAATGACTTAATGTAAATGCAAACTCACCCCAGGCCGCCAGACAGTCTATCTGGAGGGGTAATTTCTCCAGAATAGGAACCGGTTCATATGCGTCATGCATACTGGAGCTCTAATGTACTTAACCAAAAAGGGTAAAACAGAAAATAAAACGCCCCAGCAGTGTAGAATCTGATGTCAGCTGACAGGACAATAGTAAACAAACTAAATATAGCAAATCCACAACTACTACTAACTACATAGCAGTCAGATCGTTAACTTTATTTGTTAACCATCTCGCCTCTTGTCAAATGTCCCACTCCATCCTTCTTGAGTCCTGTGTCGGTCCAATGTCTAAAAAACAACACTGAAAGTCCTGTGTTGTTTTTGTTGTGTTGTTAATATGTCATGAGCATATTGCTAACTTAGTTAGCTTCCATATTTTGCCCTTTAAACTCGCTAAAACACAAATCCTCGTATTTTAAATGTATGTCATCCCATTGTTCTGCGAGACGCTGTGTTTTTCCCCGTTTAACCGTTTAATTGTCCATTAATCTGAGTTTATATCTGACAGGACACAGTGTTTGACAGCAAGCGACGAGCCTATCTGTACCGATGCTGCGGGAACTTCCTGGAACTAGGACGAGCACGTGACTGTGAGAGCTCGTGAGAGTTATATTAAAAACATCACACATGAAGCGCGTGCACTCGACAGTCCACACATAAATCCCTTACACAATTATATATTATTATGTATTTTATGAAAGGAATCGTAATGTAAAGATGCTTATTTATGAATATATTTATGTATGATAAAATACGTGATTTTTATATCAGTTTCAGGACAATTTGGCATTTACGTCGTTTGTGACGGACAGTAAAATATGGGCCAAACTTTTAGGTTGTGGTCGCATATTTTAATAAATCTGTGCTGTTATAGTTGAATTCTTTCATTACAAATGATTCAATTGTCACTTTCTTGAATTATTTTGTTTAAAGTCAGGTAAAATAGAAGTTGGTTGTCTTTTTCAGCTTGTGGATGACGTTCTGGACTTCACATCCTGTGCAAACCGCCCAGGGAAGCCGTCAGCTACCGATCTCAAACTGGGTCTGGCGTTCTGTTTGCTTGCCAACAGGTACGACAGCTGAACACATCTCTGCACTCACATGATGTCACTCACTTCACTGAAGTACAGAAAGGGGACTCAGGTCTAATAGTTGACTTGGTTTATTACAGCCATAAACTTAATTGTAAACCAGTTTCCTGAGCTGCATGCAATGATAATGATGAGGCCCTTCAGCTCTGATGGAGATGTGGATCGGGCCTGGCAATATGTCCTGAAGGTGACATGTTACAGGTGAATCTCATGAAACCATGTCCTGGGGCTGCTTTCATAGAACACCAAGACTAGTCTTACAAGCGTGTCATTCATTTTTTTTTTCTTTAAGACTTTTCATACAAGTCTGTTACATAAAACGTAGACTTGTCTACTTTGATACCAAAAAGTAAGTCTCAATTTGCCCTAACTAACTGATAGTTGGTTTACTAGTTCTTAAAGGGGTGGTAAAATGCCATTTTCACAAGATGTAAAATAAATCTCTGATGTCCTCAGTGTGTGTGTGTGTGTGTGTGTGCGTGCGTGCGTGCGTGTGTGTGTGTGTGTGTGTGTGTGTGTGTGTGTGTGTGTGTGTGTGAAGTTTTAGCACAAAATACCCCACAGATATTTTAATATAGCATGTTAAAGTTGTCACTTTCTGATGGTTTGCACAAACACAGTTTTGTGTCTGGCCCTTTAAATGCAAATGAGCTGCTGCAGAGGGTGGGGTTTCAAGAGCTCCTGTGTTAGCAGCTGATTTCCTCACACAGACAAAAAATGACAGAAACTGTTCTTCCTTTAATGTTAAAACGGAGTCAGTGGTCCCACTTTATATTAAGTGGCTTTAAGTACCATGTACTTGCATTGAAATTAATAATTTGATACAGTGGACTTATTGTGTACATACATGTTTTTACATTGTACTTATATTTTAAAAATACCAGCATGTAATTACAGCTGTAATTCATTTATGTAATTACATCTGTAATTACACAGCTGACCATCCCTTACACTTTAACCTACCCTTAAACCGACCCATACCACCACACCTGTCCCTAACTCTACCGTATCCCACCTCATTAGCAGCAAAAGTGATTTACCATACAAAATGAGAACAATAAGTACATTGTTCTTATTTTTAAATGTAAGTACATAGTACTTAAAGCCACTTAATATAAAGTGGGACCGTTGATGAATTTAATGTTGCTGATGTGGAGTTAACTATCTTCAATTAGGATATTCTGTCATGTAATCTATTGAGAATGTGGAGCTGACGTCATTGATATTTTGTCTCTCCCGATAGAACCCCTTTCATTTCTCTACCTTCTTCCCCCTATATCCTCCAAAGAAACTGCCGTGGTGTATATCGCTAAAATGTAAACAAATGCTGCGCTGTGCTGTCTCTCTATGAAGTTCTGAAGGCGTCGCCCCTGGCAACCGATAGCGTCTCCAACCATCATGCCCGACCGGCTCAGACCCCGCCCAAATCGGCACGTGACTCCTCACTCTCAATACATCGCTCATATAGGAACTGTTGTGAGATGCACACAGAGTGACTTTCTATTGCATGTGAAAAGATGAATGCTAAAGTTTGAGCTGACTCACAAATGTACTCTTATACAACAACTCTTCCTCTTCTCAACATGAATCTGGGGGCAGGGTTTATGAACATTTTAGGGTTGGTGACGTCACTAACCCGGGAGGAATGCTGTGTAGTTCCTACCAGCCGTTTGTTGTAGTCCTTTTCTTTAAAAGCAAATATCTTCCTTTGCTTTGAACTTTGAGCATTGTAACTTTGATAATGTTGCTTATGCTCAAACAGCAACATTACACAAAACTAAAGTTAGAAAAGTGAAATCATACTTTACCACCCCTTTAAGTCAAAGTCTTAACTTAATGTCTATTTTTATGAAACTGGTCACATTTTCATGGAACCTTGTTTGTTTCTGCCACAGGATAAAATTTTTGAAAAGACAATTGCAACTTTTTAACTCAAAATTTGGACTTTTTTCTTACAATTGTGCGATATAAAGTCATAAAGAGTTTTATTGAGTTACTGTATAAAGTCAGAATCGTGAGATATAAACTGACAATTCTGAGAGAAAAATACTTTATATCATGCAGTTCTGACTTCATAACTGGCAGTTGCAACTTTATATCACACAATTTTGAGAAAAAAGTCAGAATTGTGAAATAAAAAGTCGCAATTACATTTAACTTTTTTTATTCCAAGACGGAAACAAGCTTCCATACATTTCACCCCAATATTACAAGAAAAAAGCAGTAAATCAAACCTGTAAGAATTTTATATTTTTATAATGTGACATTTTTTTTTCTTTGACATCCCTCACCAAATTCTGAATCAGAGATGCAAACTTGTCACCTTGCCACCAAATGGGTCATTTGTGTAATTTGTGTACATCCGATGGGTTTTTAAAATTGCTTGCAAACAGTCCTGCGAGTATTTGTGTGTGAGCTCTGGTTTCTAATCGCAAAGGTTTATATACAACGTGTTTTTGCAGCGCTGAATATTGTAGCCAATCACAGGTAGGGTTGTGACGGTTGTTATATAACCGTGAGACCGATGGTTATAGTTGAACACCGTCATTAGAGCTCTATAACCGCCAAAACCTTGCTATTAAAATAATTTTTTCAAACATTTTTTATCATAGAGAAAGTTTAAAAACTAATGTCAGCATATGAGGGAAACGAAAGTGGAGTTAGTGGTGCTTTGGAGGCTGCTACGGCTGGAGAGGATTCGGGAGAGGTCTGTGCTAGAGGCTGACATTTTTTCGGGAATCCCACGGGTCCCGGGATTCCCGTGGGATTCCCGCAGGATGGGAGTCATCTTTGCTATTAATCACGGGATTTGGACGGTACAGGATAAATAGTTAGCGGGAGCAGACGGGAGCGGGAATCAACCAATAGCAAAGACGACAAAAAAAAAAGCAAAAAGTAAATGCACCATTTTGTAGTTTCCTTTTAATACGCCTAAAATGTAGCGAAATTAAAAAATAACTACACGACCCAGCCGTTCCAGAAGCCATCAGTGCTTTTTGTCACGGCTTACCGCCGGAATTCAAAGAGCAGTGATGGAGGGAGCTAATAGCCGCGGAGAAGTCGATGTGGCAAAAAAAAATATTTACAGCGCAAAATCAGAAGTAATGACATGTCTATTAAGTTCACAGAGCTGGTCGGAAAGTCTGAAAAATTAAGTATGTGAGAGTAGAATGTGACGGTGATAGCACGATGTACGCTGCTTGTAAGACATGCATAAAAGGGGGTCGCACACCGGATGAGAAGCGCCGCGCCGTGTCTAGGACAACTCCAGGTAACGTATCGCACACTGGACGCACACTTTCTCATCAGTGTATGGCCATCAATATTGTTATGTTTAATGACATGAAATTAAGATAATGTCTGTTCTATGTTAGATTGTACTGTACAATTAAATACAATCATTACTGAGTCTGCAGTCTGAAAACTTTACCTCAGAGCATCCGTTAACTGAATGAATTGAGAATCTCAACTGAAAAATCCAATAACATCAGCAATTGTCATTCAAGCAGCTGATTTCTGTAAATGAATGCAAAACTAAATGTAGGCCTATATTACTGCATATGGTGAAGTCAGGATACATTAGCAACGATTTGAGACAAAAATACTTTAAATTTTATATAAAACTATGTAAATGGCGCTCTGTGGCACAGCAGGGTTTTGAACACGGTCCTGAGCCGTCGCTGGGCGCGCGGACAGACACAGAATGTGTTCGAATTTTAAAGATTCTGCGCGGCGCTGAGCTTCTCGTCCGGTGTGCGACCCCCCTTTAGTCAAGTAAGTGATTCAGGGATGAGCGGTCTGAAGAGGCACGCAAATTCAGGAAAGAATAAGCCATGTTGCAGCCTACACAGCAACATATAACTAAAATTTGTCTCATTATGCAAGAGCATAATTGATGAAAATCGTTTAAAATGTAATTAAAAAAAACTATAAATGTAAACTGTAAATGTATTGTTTACTCAACAATAAATGAGTAAAATGCAGCTTTATGTGCTGTTTGGGTTTATTAAATTGTAGACATGGTGTGATGTACTGTTTTTCTTTTATTTACTGTCTTCCATTTTCTGGAGAAAATCTAGAAACTGGGGCTCAGCAGCTGGTCTAAAACAGGATGGATTGGAGAGGATGCAGAATTGCAGATTAAATCAAATTCTATGTATTAACTGAACATTAATTGAAGAAAAAATATATATGGGAGCGGTACAGGAGTGGGAGTCAGTTTAAACAGGAGTGGGATGGGATGGGATTATTTTTTAAACTTTGGTCTGGGAGTGGGACGGGACAAGATTTCTTTCTATGGGAGTGGGACGGGACAGGAGTGAAAATCCACTCCCGTGTCATCCTCTAGTCTGTGCCCCTTTACTGATCAGAGCACGCTGACACAGAGTAAAGCCTTGTTTATATTCAACACATACGCACAAGCACGAAGCTGGGCACAGCAAAAATGATGTGCTGGGTGTGCAATACCCCATTTCGCTTGGCTGTGTGCACTGATATTTTTGTAACAGCGCGTGCGACGCCGCATCCGAGGATGAACAACTTAAAGCCGAATTTGTCCGAGCATGTAGGCTACTATATAACATCAATGCCAACCTGATCAACACAATTGAACGCTTATATGACAAGGCTACCAGTGCAGTCTACTACAATAACACCATAGGAGAATGGTTCTGAACCACAGTCGGAGTCCGCCAAGGCTACCTGCTCTCCCCCCATTCTCTTTAACATCTATTTAGAATGAATTGTGACCAACGCATTGGAAGATCATGAAGGTACAGTCAGCATCGGAGGCAGGTTGATTACAAACTTGCGTTTTGCCGATGACATCGATGGATTAGCTGGAAAAGAACAGGAACTCGTCAATCTTAAAACATCTTAACGTGGCCTCGGCAGCATTTAACATGCAGATTAATGCAGAGAAAACCAAGCTGATGACCAACAACCCCAAAGGAATCAGAACTGAGATCAAAATAAACAATAAGAAGCTTGAGAATGTTAAAAGTTTTAAGTACCTGGGGGCCATCGTTTCGGATGAAGGATCTAAACCAGAAATACTCTGATAGCACAGACCATGGCCGCCATTAACAAATTGAAGGTCATCTGGAACGACAATAACATCGCCATTGGCTCAAAGATCAGGTTGATGCGTTCCCTGATCATGTCAATATTCCTATACACATGCGAGTCATGGACGTTGACAGCCGATATCGAGAGAAGGATTCAGGCGGTGTGTCACGGGTCTCTGAAGGAGGACTCAAATGCAGAATGTGAATTAACAGGTTTATTGACAAACAGCAGACAGATGACAGGATGTGGTGGGAGAGGTGAACAGTCCAGACAATGGGCAAGGCTGACACAAAGACAGGGGTAGAAGCTAGCCGAGCTGCCGTAGATAGTTGCACAAGGTGTCTGTAGGCTGGAGAGTAGCAATGGCAGAATA